CTTCCTTTTGCTATTACATGGAATGGTATGGCAGAAAGAAACAGAAAAGAATATCCCTTTAACTGAAAAAAGAAAAATGGGGCTGGAGATGGCTCAGTGGTTAAGAGCACTGACTGTTCTTCTAGAGGTCATGAGTTCAATTCCCAGCAACTACATGGTGGCTCACAACCATCTGTAATGGGATCTGATGTCCTCTTCTGGTATGTCTGAAGAGAGTGACAGTGTACTCATATACATACAATAAATAAATACATTTTAGAAAAAGAAAAATGAAATATCAATTATGATCATCAACTTAAAGACATTTGTTTGAAGGACTGAAATGTTTTAAGTAGCATTTAATTCATCTTAAAGGTATTGGCCATTAACTTCTTGATGTAGGGTTGTTATTTTAGACCAAAGAAATCGTAAAAAATCTTTAGGATGCAAAGAATGAAACTCAGTGGAAAAACTGGTCAACAGATTTTTATTAAAAGGCAGTGCTGTCTATTAGTTACAACTGTTGCCATTAAATTTGATGCCACAGAGGAAACCCAAGTGTCATTTAGTGTTTTCTCCCATGGTCATCACTTCAGGGTTACATTACTTTGGTTGAAAATTACCAGAGTACAAATATAATGAATTAAATTAGAAAGAACTTAACATCTTAAATCATAAATTCCTTCACTGAGACAAACAGGACCCCAGAAATCAAGAGCTGCAACTCCAAATCAATATTTCCTTTTCTTTACACAACAGAGTAATGCTGGTTGACTGTGGCTACAGCTAGGGAAATGGCTGAGGGGTTTGGATTCCCAGAACCCACATAAAAGCTGGGCAGACGTGGCAACCTACTTGTAATCCCAGACAGGAAATCCCCAGGGCAAATTGGCTGACTAGGCAAGCCAAAGGGATGAGCTCCACGTTTGGAGGGAGACCCTGACAGAGTGTGGTGGAAAGTAACGGAGGAAGACACTCCATGTCAACTTCAGGTCTCTATTTGAATGCTCACACATATGTGCACGTACCCCCACTCACACTGTGCTCATTCACGTGTGAACATGCACAAATACTCACATGACACACATATGCAAAAAAAGAAACCTAAACAATTGTATTAGATGAAGTGGAAATATCTGGCCTGTTTAATAACTCAGTTGTGTCATGTGATGCTTTCTGGAAGCTGTCTTGTGAGAGGGCATATGATGTTTTGCTGACACTTGAGAGGGTACATGACGTATAGAAAGAATATAAATGGAACCCCACAAACAGTGAGGGAGTCTCTTGCGTTGCTACACCATGCAAAGCTTTGCTGGTCTTCCCTGGTCTACGTTGATCTTCATTTCATAGAAATGCACACACATACACACACACAAACACACACACACACACACACACACACACACATACACAAAACCTTCTTGTGGTATTCCAGCTGATTCTGGCTGCTTCCGCTGACTCCTGCCTGTGAATCCTTGCTGTTGCTGCTGGATCGTGTGTGCATCACTACTGGTTCATGTTTGGTGTTTGCTGTTGAACTGGATAGCTGGTATCCTGACAAGGAAGAGTGGAATCACCCCAAGAAACTACTTCTAAACAGGCCCACAATGCCCATTTCCTATTAACCTTCTTTTACCCCTACCTCTGGTGGGCGGGTTAGAAGGGAGGTTGAAGTGTTTAAGAACCCTAAATAAAGTAGGCTTTGAAAAAAATCTAAGCCTACAATTAAATAGATGAAGGAAAATAAGAATTAGCAGAAGGAATAGCAGAGAGATATGGAGGTCAGATATGTGTGTACAATTTGTTACATGCAGACTTTTTCTGAGGTTTAGTACATATTAGTGCATAGTTGTATGTACAGGCCCCCAGAAGCAGCTCTTCTTTTCTGTTCTCTTCTGCTGTCTCTTCGGCCTTATGGTAAAGCTTAGGCACTGGACCAGACTGAGTGTGCCTCCCAGGTCAGTCTCTTAGGCTCTGTATGACCATGGCAGTTTTGTATGACCCTGGCAGGTGTCATAGCCCCTGGACACCAAATTCTTCTTCTGTAAAGTGGAGGTAATTCCTGTTTCATAAAACCAGCGAGATCATTAAATAACAATATCTAAATCTATTCATTCAGGGACAGCCCAGTAGTGTTGGTAGCTAATCCTGCACCAGGAACTGTCGCAATTTCTTGATGTGTGAACAGTTAGGAAAAGCATGCATGGATCTGCCCATGTTTAACTAGCCCAGTGCTAGGGAAGATGTCTGAGGTACCATTTGACATCCCAGCATGCCCAGGGGAGCTGTAGCTCAGTTGGTATGTTGCTTGCTGGACATGCAGGAAACCCTGGAAACCCCAGCAGTGCATGAACCCGGGCATGGTGGTACACACCTATAACCCCAGCAGTCGGGAGGGGGAGTAGACAACGCTGAAGATGGAGAAGACAAGGGTGATGTTAACTGCACTGACAAAGGGCAAGAGATAACAGAAGAGCAGACAAGTGCCTGACTTCCCCTTGGCTGGTGATCGGGACAAGGAGACACTTGTCAGAACTGAAAAGATAAAGCGCTCTAAATAGCTCTTCAAACAGTGTTAAGGGCCGCTTTACAGCCAAGTGATTGTATACTAACCCAGCACACACGAGGCTCTGGATCCATTCCCCAACACTGCAAATAAAATTAGAACATAATTTCAACCAGTGCAGTACTATCAAAAATAACAAGAGGCAAAAATACTTAAACTGGGTAGGAAATGTTTTCCTAAAATAGAATCACATTTATTTCATCAGTTATTTCTCAGCAGAGGGGCCGAGATAGTTCAACCAAGAAATATCTGACAGGGGGTTAATATCTAGTATCTATAAAGAATTACAAACACACGCACACTAAAACCCGTTAGCTGGTAAGTGGGCTAATGGATTGAATGAAATTTGAATGAAATGGATTGATTGAAATCCCTCAAAAGGAGAGATGCAAATTAAGTATTTGAAATAATGTTCAACATCCGTCACCATCAGAAAAACACAAGCTAAAATTGCCTTGAGATCCCATCTCACCCATCAGCCGTCGTCAAGAGAACAAATTCCAGCGAGGAAATGGGGATGCATGTGTGCACTGACATCATGCAAATGAGAGGAGAGGTGCTCCCGGACAGAGTGAAGTGCAATGCTACTGAAGAAGGGAACAAGTGGGCTGGAGGGATGACTCTGAGGTTAAGAGCACTGATTGTTCTTCCAGAGGTCCTGAGTTCAATTCCCAGCAATGACATGGTGATTCACAACTATAATGGATCCTAAGCCCTCTCTGGTGTGTCTGACTACGATGACAGGGTACTAATATAAATAAATTAAGTAAATCTTTTTCAAAAAGGGGGGAACAAATGGTGGGGGTGGTCGGGAGTAGAAGGGTTCTAACATATTGCTCAGGGTGTGGGCCTCAGACATGGAGCACTGTGACACAGGAATAAGGCCTTGTTCTCATATACAGGTGAAGTCATGATCACAGCAAGAGTGTTGGTGTACCTTGTCCCATTTCCATCTCTGTTCCACATAAATGTCACTCAGAAGCTCCAGCTGTGATAATTCAGGGCCACCTGAATTCTGTGAGAATTAGTGCCACCACACTAACAAGTTTACTTCTTTCCATGTGTCTATAAAGACTTGGACAAGTTGTATACTATTTTAGTCTCTCTTATTATAATTGAACTTTACCCTAAATCATTGCCTCTCAAGACATGAAGTGTGGTGTGCAGTAGCCACTAAAGGGTGAGACTGCAGAGACTCATACGCAGCTATCTTTTCCAGCCTTAAGCTACAGTTCTCCAGCCTTTGGATGACTGTTGGGAAGGGCCACAATTTAGGAAGGTATCTCCCCACTCCAATACACACGTGTTCAAGGCTTTGTACTCAGTTTATAGCACTACTGGGAGGTGGGCCTCCAGTTTTAAGGAGCCAAATGCCCTTGGAATCACTTGGCAGATCTGCAAAAACTACTCCACACCATGGACATATGCATGCATGTACAGACATGGATTCTACCCATCACCCCTGATGTGGGCTTCTTGTGGGCTTGCTTCTAGATGGCTGTATCACATTGCCTTTGCTGTAACAGAATGTCTGGCAGAAGCAATTTAGGGAAATATCTATTTTGGCTCACAGTTTCTGGCCATAATGGTAAGGATGGCATGAGGTAAGACAGTGACGTTTGTGGCAGCTGGAGGGTGTCCAAGCAGAAAAGTAAAGCAGGAACTAGGGGCCAGGTATATTTTTGAGAGGCCTGCCTAGAGTAACCTGCTTCCTCCATCAAGGGTCCATCTCCTAAAAATTCCACATCCTCCCCAAACAATGTCAGCAGCCAGGGAACAAGCATTAAAAACCTGAGCCTGCAGAGGACACTACAGATTCAAACCATAACAGTGACCATCCATATAGTCTTCTAGAGACAAGTTCTTATTTTTTCCCCTCTACCTCCCCTGTACTGGCTGGTCGCATGTCAACTTGACACAAGCCAAAGTCATCAAAGAGGAAGGAGCCTCAGTTGAGGAAATGTCTCCATGAGATCCAGCTGTAAGGCATTTTCTCAATTAGTGATCAATAGGGGAGGGCCCAGCTCATTGTGAGTGGGGCCATCCCTGTGCTGGTGATCCTGAATTCTATAAGAAAGCAGGTAGAGCAAGCAATGAGGAGCAAGCTAGTAGCGGCACCCTCCATGGCCTGTCCACCAGCTCCTGCTTGACTTGTTAGCCCTGCTTGAGTTCCTGTCCTGACTTCCTCCAATGATGGACAAGATTCTGGAAGTATAAGCCAAATAAACCCTTTCCTCCCCAATTTGCTTTTGGTCATGGAGTTTTATTGCAGCAACAGAAACTCTAACTAGGGCACCTTTTATTTCTAGTCCAACCCCAAGACTCCTGTACTCAGTAAAGATGGAAAGTCCAGCCATAGACTTTTCATCATACTTCAGCTTCAGATGACATGGGGCTGTTTCTAGTTCAAAGTCACAGATGAATGCAAGTTTATACCATTCAGTGGCTCCGCATTCCAAATTGACGATCACATTTTTATTCATTATGAACCATTATTGTTAGCACCAGTTTCTAAACCTTTGCCAGGTCTGAGAAGAGAATCGTAAAGGCCCCAACATGCAGACATATATTTCTTAAAGATAAAAATGCAACATTCCCAGGTAACTTCTTCCCAGGTGTTTGTGGAATAATTTCAACATTTTAACAGTTTTAATAGAAAAATTCCAAGTATTTTGTTTTGGAAGGAAAACCGGCAGTTCTGGTTGGAAGTAAAGCATGCCCTCTTTCATTGAGCTGTTCGCACTGTGGATCGGCCTCCTCTCTGCCTCAGGCTTGGAGTCCACTCCTGGGAAGCTCCTGAGGCCCAGCGGTCACAGAGGTATTCTCACATTTATCTTCTTTCCCCTTGACCAGTATCTGGTTTCCACAAGAGAGATCAGGCTATGGGATTCTCTTCTTGCACTGACCGCCTCAATCGTAGGTCTGGGTTGAACACAGGAAAGAGAAGTTAATTCAGGGACACACACATTCCCAGCTTAAGGGCTTCCCTCGGGCAGCCAGGAAGGCTCCAGCTCTTCTCAAGCCTGCCTTCTTTTGAGTTTCTAGACTCTCCCCTTGACCTCCCATCATTGCCTGTTGTCAGTAAATACTGTTTTCAAAAATAAGTGCAGGATTGGAGGGGTGGCTCAGTGGAAAGAGTGCTTGTTCTACAATCATGAGGACCAGAGTTTGGATCTGAGAACCCATGTACCAAGTCAAGTATCCCACACGTGCCTCTAAACCCTGATATCACAGGGAGGGACAAAGGCAGGAGGATCACTGGAGCTTGCTGACTCCTTGCCTAGCTAAGAAGAAAATTCAAGTTTCAGGTTCAGGGAAAAAGGAATAGGCAGAGTGTGATAGAGGACACTCAACTCCCTCTCTGGTCTCCTACACACACACATATACACATACACACACACACACACACACACACACACTCACACACATTCACACACAAAAACACATAACTAGTCTAAAAAAAAGTTTGTTTCCTCCCCAGTGTCCATTCCCTTTCTGGCAACAGACACTGAGCTGCTTGTTCTTCGCCCCTGTGGTCTGTATGGTTGTATCAGCCACACAGTAGTTGAAACATGTGACTTGGGTATGGCTATAGGTACTGTCACATTTTCGTAGTCAAAGCAATGAGTTTGTGGATGAACACATCAGACTGAATGAAAATGATGAAATTTTTAAATTCCCTGACTCTTTTCCACCAGATTGAACCTGAAAAGCTGTGAGGTGTTGGCGATGCTATTTTGCCATCATTACAAAGTGGCTGTTGTGTAAAGAGCTAACATGTGACCTGAACAGTCAGAAACACAGATCTAGTGACACCATGAGCTTCCACATTAGGCCAGAACAAAAGCAAAATCATCTGAGGTCAGGCTTGCAGCAGCACATCCCCCACCTTGGGCTACGTCACTGGGTCTCTGTCTGTGGCAGGTCTGGTACTCACCAGGAGCAGTACCAAGTTCCTCCAAATGCAAAGGGCTTTGTTGCTGAAAATAAAGAAAGCAGACAGTCATGTCACTGGAGGGGGAATGCAAACATTAAGTTTGTTGCACAGATGGTACAATCTGTGAACCTGCCATTATTTTAAAACGGGGTAATGGTTGAGACAAAGGGTCGATCACGGAAATATCCAATATGTTTAGATTTTAGCAACAGATACTGCATTCATTCCATGGATATTCATTGAGCATTTATGACATGCTAGCTAATGTATTAGAACCTGGGGTCATTTGAGATGGGCAATGCTGACAGTATTACACTGATAGTAAATTATGTTGTCAACATTTTGAGTTGAGAGTTTACCTTTTAGTGGTACATTCCAGGACACCAATAGAAATTGGCAAAAAAATCTATTTATGAGCTTGATACAAGGATATATATTAATAACATGTTATGGGGGCAGACGTGATGTCTGGAGGCAGAAGTGCATAAAACACTTACAACAAATAGGACTAGGGGTGTGCATCAGACCCCTTGCCTGGCATGCACAAGGCCCTGGTTTCTATCCACAGCACCACAAAGTTACAGTTTTTAATACAATGTTTCATTCAATACTGTTTTAGTACTTTAAAAAACCCCAAACAACTCAAGTGTTCAAACATGTCCAGAATGCAACCATGTCCAAGATATAGTGTTCAGTTGGGGGGCAGGGAAGGCTGTAATATCATTTGGATATCAATGATATAGTATCAATGGATACTATGATTATAATAGTATGAAATCTGTATTTTCATACTCCATTCATCAAAGTCTGAGTAGACAAAGGTGTGACTGCTGATGCCCTGGGTAAAGATTTGAAAAATGTACACTAAAGTGATAACCATTCAGTGGGACACTCTTGGTGTTCCTGGGTGATTTAAAACAAGTGTGAACTCCATGAAAGCAGAACATTCTTCAGCTCACAGTGACCTATAACCTGGACCACAGCCAGCCATAAAGCAAACTATATATAACTATATAACTATATGCATATATATATATATATAATATATATGCACAGAAATACTTAGGACAGAAATTGAAGGGTCCTACACAGGTGGAGTGGAACACACCTGTAATCTCAGAACTCAAGAGGCTAGAATAGGAGCTAGCCTGAGCTATACAGCAAGAAAGCCTGTTAAATAGAAACACCCCCTGTCCCCAGAGTTTGGTGTCTGCTCTCCAATACACTTGTCACATGGATGTAGGTATGTGTCCCCAGGGCAACTGTAGCCTCACCTCCACATCTCTCCTTTCCAGGACAAGTGCACTGGGATTGGCTCTCTTCTCCATATCCTGCAGCTTGGTCAATTTTTCTATCAGGAACATCTTATCTTTGCCCTCCTGCCAGGAAGGAAAAATTTAGAGTAAAGCATGGGAAACATGTGCTTGTGTGAGGTGAAGGAGGCATGAATAAAAAGGGGCCTGCAAGCTGGAAGGAGATGGCCACCATGCTTCTTCTAATGAAGAAGAAGTTATCTGTGTTGGCCGAGATCTGTGATTCAACAGTTCAAAGAGAAACAGAGAGAATATTCCTTCTTCCAGGAGGCTGGATTCACTTCCCTGTGAGCCCTACAGCAGGAAGTTATGAACTATTCCTCCTGTGTCGGGAGCCAGGTAGCATAACTGTTTCCTCTATGCAGGCTCTGTCCCCAAACTTCACACAGGCAGGTCACCCCGGCTTCTCCACTGATTTTTAACATCCTGCTTGTAGCAATCACCCCAAAACCTTGCCATGTAAATGCCACTCACACTAATATTCCTGTGGCCTCTGCTTCAAGATCACTTTCTATTGCCCTCTTTGCTTCGACATTTACCCACCAGACTTCCCCCAGAAGGAAGGGCTGTCCCCAGGGATGATAATCTCTCCGGTGGTTGCTAAACATTCAGGAGTGCGGCCTAACAGCAGAAGTGGGCTTCTGGGGGCGGGTCTTGGAGATGACACCTGCTTCTATTTCTAGCCCAACTTCTCTGCCTCCTGATCTGCCAACATGTGAGGGGTCTCTGCCACATGCTCCTGCCATCATGAAGTATGCCCTACCTTCCCTACCATGGTAGACAGAAGCTGTGAGCCAAAATAAATACTTGCTCCTCCAGCCGCTTCTTGTTGAGTATTATGTCACAGTGATGAGAGAGGTAGTTAACACATGAACATACACATACACACACACACACACACACACACACACACACACATCAAAGATTTGCAGGGATGAAATGAGAGTATATAAATGCCAGTGGTGGCTGAAGCCATAGCTCCATCAGTGACATGCTCACAAGTGAGTTGCACCACTACAACCTATAAAAAAAAGACAAGCATGATGGCGTGTGATTGTAATTCCAGTGGGGAGGAAGTGAAGGCAGGCAGGTCCCAGGGACTAACTGGCCAGCCTGCCTGCCCTTCTTGGTAAGTTCCAAGCCAATGAGAGACCTTGTCTTATTTTTTTTTTAAACGTGGACAGAGTCTGAGGAATGACACCCAAGGTTGCCCTCTGGCCTTCCATACATGTACATACCCACACCTGTATACCTGCACACACAAGTACATACATGCACACACATGCTGGGTGGTGTCGACTTGGAGATTCATTGTACTATTCATTCTATCTTGGAATATGTTTGGGAATTTCTATTATACTCTTGACAGAGGATGAGAGGGGGGAAGGAGGTATTACACGGAAGGGGGATAGGAGTACAGGAGAGTCTTACATTGATGATCTGTTCATGGAGTAGCCGGATCATGACCTTCCTCCCCTCTGTGATCTGCCAGTAAAGATAGGTGATGATTCTGGAAGAGAAGAAATGGCAGACACTCTCGACAATGCTTTGAGACTCCATATTTTAGTGGGGTATAGAAGGACTGGAATATTTGCTTGCAAACAGATTTTAACCCAAGTGTGTCCCTGAGAAGTCAAAATGGGGTAGCAGGCTAAGTACTTTAGAGCAGCGGTTTTCAACCTGTGGGTCATGAGCTTTTTTTTTTGGGGGGGGGGAGGGTTAAACCCCTTTACAGGGTTTACCTAAGACCATAAAAATACATATATTTACACTATAATTTATAACAGTAGCAAAATTACAGCTATGGAGTAGCAACAAAAATAATAGTATGGTTGGGGCATCACCCCAACTTGGGAAACTGTATTAAAGGGTAGTGGTATTAGCATTAGGAAGGTTGAGAACCACTGCTGCACACCTAGGAGGTGGAAATAAGCCTCACATCATGCCCGTCCCTTAGATCAAGCAGGCACACATTTTCCAGGAAGGGACCAGGCATCCACATTTTAAAAACACATTAAGTTTGAGCGTGTAGCTAGACTATGTGATTTGCACATGTGCTGTTCAAACTTGAAGTGATGTACATTTCTTAATTTTTTTCTTTCTTTTTTTTTTTTGCAAACATATTCCACATACTTGGGTTTAGTAGAACTTGAGATTCTGCAGTGTATGTGTGTGTGTGTGTGTGTGTGTGTTTGTCCGAGTGCACATTCACATTCCCGTGAATGCATTCATGGAAGCCAGAGTTCAAGGTCTAGCATCCTGCTGTATTGTCCTCCACCTTATTTTGTTCTTCAGACTCTCCCTGGAGCTTGTACTCACCAACTGGCAGACCAGCTGGCCACTGAGCCTTGGGGAGCCCCCTGTCTCTGCTCCCCTAGTTTTGCATTGTTATATCCCGCTTTTGGGGTCCTGAACTCAGGCCCTGATGCCCACGCAGCGAGGACTTTACCCCTGAGCCATCCCAGCCCCAGATCCTGTGTTTCTAACAAGCTTCTAGCGTAATAAACTCAAGCATTTCATATTTGTGTATGGTTCCTATGCACAGCTTTAAAAACTCTTAAGACATTCAGAGTGGTGAATGTCTTTTGAATTCACATCAGATGTTTGGTGACTCAAGGGCTTAAAGATGGGGGATTAGTTACCACAAAGATAAAGCATGGTTGAAGAGCTGGACACAGGCTGAAAGAGGATTGTAAGTTCAAGACCAGCCTGCCCCACATAACAACATTCTGTCTCAAAATAAGGCAGTAAGTGGGCTGCACAGTCCTTGCCTCTCATGATCTTGTAGAGGAGGGACATGCTAGAAATATAATTAAACACCAACAGCCAAACATTTGATAAAGAATATTTCCTAGGAAAGCACAGAAGCTCTCCCACATACCTTAACCTGGGCATCTCTTCCTGAGTTGCAACCTTTATCATAAACTGGGCATCATAGAGAATTCCTGAGCTCTGCTAGTCATTTTAGCAAATTACTGGGTATGAGGAGATTACAGGAACCTTCAAAGTCAAAGCCAGAACTACAGGTGACACGTGGGTCTTGAACCTGGCATCTAAACTGGGCTTTGCAGGACTGAGCCCTTAAATTGTGAGGTTGACGCCACCCAGGTCCAGGATCAGAACTGACTGAAATGGTAGGCTAGCCAGCTGGTGCCTGTGGTGTTGAATGATTGCTTTGTATAAGAAAATCTTCTCCCTGTCACACATATTTGGTGTCAGAAGAGACACAGCAGCAGGGCCAGTGAAGGAGAAGAGCAGCAGAGGCAGCGGGTCAGGAGGCCAGTTTAACAGCTGCGGCTGTGGTGTACAGGGTGGAGCATCATGGAGAGCAAGGAGACCTGGCTTCTAGCCTCTGCCTCCACTATCAGGCTGTGCAGACAGAGCCTATAGCAGCATCTAACCTATCACTGACTTATTGTCCTTATCTGCAAAGCACAGACATTGTTCTGTAATCCATGGCTGGCGCGAACGGTCTGAGCCCTTGAGTCCTGTGTCTCTCGACAAGGAGCGGCCCTGTCTAATGCCATGGGAGCTAAGCTGTAGCAAGCTGGTCAACCAGTTTTTCCATGAAGGAAAGTGAACCCAGTGTGTATGACTCTTCATAAGAAATCAGAAGTCAGAAATGGATAGTTTTTAAAATTAAAATGCAAAAAACTCTAAATGTCAACAATGGGCCAATTTTTATATCTTGTAGCCTCCAAAGGAAAATTTCTGAGAATTCTCACACATTTTCATTCTTTTTAAAAATTGTATTTTGATATTCCTTTTTTTTTCTTCTAGTATTGAGGATTAAATCCAGGGTCTTGCACATGCTAGGTTCATGCCCTACCACTGAGCTATATCCCCAGCAAAAAGGGAGGAAGTAAGTGTACTGTATTTGTAGAGCATCCAAAAAAAAAAAAGCTTAGGTATGAATTTGTTTTTGTTTTTGTTTTTTTTTCGAGACAGGGTTTCTCTGTGTAGCCCTGGATGTCCTGGAACTCACTCTGTAGACCAGGCTGGCCTCGAACTCAGAAATCCTCCTGCCTCTGTCTCCTAAGTGCTGGGATTAAAGGCGTGTGCCACCACTGCCCAGGGAGATATGAAAATACTGAATGTGACTGGAGAGATGGCTCAGCGGTTAAGAGCACAGGTTGCTCTTCAAGACGTCCTGAGTTCAATTCCCAGCAACCACACGGAGGCTCCCAATCATCTGTAATCCAATGCCCTCTTCTGGTGTGTCTGAAGACAGCGACAGTATATTCATATAAATAAAATAAATAAATAAATAAATAAATATTTTTTTAAAAAACTAAAATATTAAAGGACATTTTACAGAAACATGTTCATGGGAAGAGTGGAGGCGGTCCTGGTCTCACTGCTCTGCACGTCTTGCTCTGTGTCCCAAATGAACATTCCCAGGATCACTGTCCTCTGATGTCAACAAAGGGCTCAGAAGAACCCTTCGCTTCTCCTCCCTCTCGCTTCCAGAGGAACCCCACTTACAACACAATGAGGGTGAGGATGAAGAAGAAGTGGACACTTCCAATGAGGTTCTGGTAGATCCAGACGACCCACAGGTAGCCTGGCCTGCGGCTCAGGGTGTCGATCCAGCTGTAGATGGACTGGATGAAGGAAGGTAGACCTCGGAACGGGCCGCAGTCAGCCGAAGGTTTCAGTCTGAAGACAAAACCAGAGAACCGCCTGCTGCCTGAGACTCCGATGCAGGCATTTCAGAATCAAGGGGTCCCTTCTGGGCTTGGGCTCTAGACACAGAAAATCTTGCCTGCTGTCCCCACACTCTACTTCCATGGAAAGCGTTCTCACTCGGCTTTGCCTGGTGTTACATGCCGCCTGAGGACCAACTCTCAGAGCAGGGGTATCACCTGCCACAGTGGCCAATCCAGACTCTAGGCAATGATCTAGCAGTATCTTGGGAGCAATCAGAGAGTTTTTCTTGGCAGTGAGATTTATGACCCACCAAGAGGAAAGCTTGTTAGCTATGGAAGCCATGTGTGATGCTGTGTTTAGGTGCTGTCAGCTGTTACAAATGCATAAAAACTGGAAGATTAAGATGGGGTTGGAGTGTGTGTGTGTGTGTGTGTGTGTGTGTGTGTGTGTGTAGAGATGGCTCAGCGGTAGCCATTAAGAGCACTGACTTCTCTTCCAGAGATCTTGAGTTCAATTTCCAGCAACCACAGGGTGGCTCACAGCCATCTGTAATGCAATCCAATGCCCTCTTCTGGTGAGTCTGAAGACTCAAATAAATACATCTTTAAAATCAAAGGAAGAGAGAAAGTGGGGAATAGATATGACAAAAGAAGTGAGGATTGGGATGGGATAAGTGACTCAGAGGTTCAGAACACTTGCTACTCTTACAGAGGATCAGGGTTCAGTTCCCAGCACCCACCTAGTGCCTCAAAACTATCTGTAGCAGTTCCAGAAAATCTGAGGCCCTCTTTTGTTCTCTGCAGGCACTAGGGAAACACACGATGCACAGACATACAAAAAGCTCATATAGATAAACTGTGAACCATGATGGATGAAAACGTGGGCCTCAGAGAGAAAAGGGGTAAGGGATCAGCAGCAGGCAGGGATGTCTAGGACGCTTAGGTGAGTTGACCTTGGAGCTGAGAATCAAATGGAAAGAGCCCTTCAGAGAGAGGACCCTGACCATATGGAAAGGGACTTGTTGGGCCCTAGAGGTGGAGCAGGAGCTTTGGAGCTGCCGTGGGATGGTGCCCACTGGAGAAACCAGCTCAGCTAGGACCTCTGGTTCACATCAGTCAAGTTTCCTGCTCATTGTGGAGGAAGTGGCCGCTTCCAGTTTGGGAAGTATGAACACTTGGCAGAAATGAGGAAGTGGCTCCTAAATATGGTGTGGGATGTACAGAATAAGTCCAGGGAAGGATTTACTCCCTCCCTTGGTCCTTATATCTGCGGGCTACCCCAGGAACATGAGCTGAGCTCTGTATTAAGCACAGTTTTTATTCTGATGTTTACCATCTGAGAGTCTTACTGACCCTGAGGAGATTTCCTTTCCCAGGACTAGCCTAGGAAGTATGACTTCTTATGCAGACGATTACCTAAAACATAGCCAGCAGCACAGCCACTTCTTTTAATAGGCCTTCATGGTTGGAGCATGTTCCCAGGCTCCAGTCACCCCATGGTCAGGATCTCAATGACCTATAATAGCCCCCAAGGCTGTAGAACCTTCTAAAAAGACCCAAAGTGGCCATCCCTAGCCTTGCTACTTTGCCTCATCTGTTCCTTACCCTAGAAAGTGCAGTAAAGTCTGTCAGTCCACCTCCCTCCTGACTACCCTGTCTGCCTTTTCCTCATGTGGCCCTGCATGGCATGAAGAACCTTCCCTTCTTGGGAACTGTGAATAACAAACCATGATTTCAGCGGTAACTGTCTTCATATCTGGGCAATAAAACCCACCTTTAAAAACAGATATCTATCCACTCCATCACTAAAGCCTCAGCCAAGGCCACAGTCCCTACCTCCAGATGGTGATAGCCAGGGTGCATAGCACTCCCGTGAAGGACGGGAAGAAGAGCAAGAAAATGAAGAAGGTTATCATCTGTGAGGCCCGCCAGGCCTTGCTTGGAGGCTGGAAGTTCATCATCAGACTGACCTGAGGAGAGAAACAGACCCCTTCCACCTGTGGCCACAGAACAGCCCCTGGGACCCCACCAAGAGCCAACTCTCCCACCATCTATTTACAGCTTCCCAGTTTTTGGCTTTCAGACCCCTCCCCACAGCCCCTTTCCCAGCTGGGATCTCCCTCGCACCCCCACCAGGTCATAAGTTCCCAAAGGAAAGAATTGGTTGCAACTTGGGTCCAACTCACATTTTTGACATAGAACATAATGAAGAGAGTGATCATTTGGATAAAAGGCAGCAGAGGACAGAAGAAAATTCCAAGCCTGTGAGGAAAACCGGAGTGTCAGGGACCCGGGGAAACTCAAGAAGAACAGGGTGCAGAGGCAAGGGAGAGACTCATATCTCCCTAAAATTCATATATGAAGACCTAACACACACATACACACACACACACACACACACACACACACACACACGCACATAAACACACACATGTATGCACCACAATACCTCCCAACATGACTGGATTGAGAAGCAGAGTTGTTCAAACAGGAATTATGTTGGAATGGGGTAAGCTCGTGGTCACTACAGTAGGCTCTAATTCAGTATGAGTGTTGTCTTTAAGAGAAGCAAGTAGGGCACAAACGTAGAGAACTGTGTGAAGATACAGGGAAGGTGAGGCCAGCTGTAAACTAGAAAGAGAGGCACGGGGCAAATCCTGACCCCATGGGCTTGGGAAGGAACCACTTGCCAACACTGTGACTGTGGTATTTCATCATGGTAAGTGTTCCTTTAGATGTGTAGTGTCATAGGAAACTAATGCAGAGGGGGATCGTTTGAATAACAGCAGACCAGAGACATCCCACCATGGCTGCTCCCTCTTCAGATCTGAGAAGGCTTTGCAGAAAGAAAGAGACTCCACCCCACCACAGAGCCACTAAACCATCAGAGGCCCTTCAGTGTGCCCTAATCTAGTGTGTGAGGTCATCCTTCCCACGTGTGGCCCTCATCCTTTCCATGGTGCATGAGAAGACCCGCAGGGACTAGACAAAAAAGTCCACTGAGTTACAAGTCAAGAAGTCTTTGCTTTCCAACTCTCTTGCAGTACTCCTGAGGAAGCTTGGTGCCAGGATGTCTTTAATGACCAACATCTGCCAACCTCCACACTCTAAAATGTATTTAATTTTTATCTATGTGTGTATAGCATATGTGTGCACAATGAATACACACATATGTGTGCAGAATCAGTGAAGGGCATCGCCCGTCACTCTTCATCTTACCCTTTTGAGATGGGGAAGGGGGTCTCCCTCCAAACACGGGTCTAGGCTGGTGGCTAGCAATATCCCTAACAGTCTTCCCATCTCCCTGCAACACAATGCTGAGTTGTAGTGGCACATAGTGGCCATAATGGCTTACATGTGGGTGCTGAGATCTGAACTCAGGTTTTTATGCCTACACAGCAAAAGCGTTCATACCTACTGTAACACCTCTGCCACCTACACACCTATAAGGAGCAGTCTTTAAACTGACAGTCTCAGAAGACAAGAACATCTAGCCAGGGTCTAAGAACTATTTGGGACACGGTTGCTTCAATTTTTCCAGTAACTTATGATTTATATAATCTGGCATTAGTTTTCCATTTATGATAGTAAAGATGGCTTAAAATATATTTGACTTGCATGGGTATTTGAATGAAACACATATCCAGAGATTCAAAGCTAACATGGAGGGGGACATTCAAGGAGAGGGAGGTAAAAAGCAGCAGCGATGTAAAGAGGAAAGGAGACTAATGAAACAAGAAAGGTTGCATGTGGTAAAATATGAGAGGGCAAGAGAGAGGCAGGAGTACGGAGAGTAATACCTAAAATAAAGACCTCCTGAAAAAGTCTTATGAAAGATGACTACTGCAGAAGCATCTAAGCTATAAGCATACACATGTATAAAAAGAGTTGAAGTGAAGTTACCTTGTAACGAGGTGACAATGGCTCTACTAGACACCACAGAACAGCAAATAAAAAAACCCCCATGCAAGGGATGGGTTACCTCTATTGGAGTAGCCTTGACCAGTGGGGTCCCACAGACACCCCCAATATTGTCAATATTGTCCATGCCCTTGGTCACTTTCCATGGGTGGATGGTAAGATCCTATTGCTGAAGACACCATAGAACATGGAGAGATGGAGCTGGTGTTCATCTGGAAGCTTTATGGCTACTGCTAACTTTCCTAGTGCTAGAAGGTGCTATGCAGGCTCCTGAAGAAGAATAGTAATCACCAGTCTCATCTAGTTGTGGGCCCTGGAAGCTGCAACAACGACTGGCCTGGCATATATGTATATGCCCATTGATACAATAGTGGTACAACTGTTACAGAAGTAACCAACCACTCACTGCTTGGACTTAAGTTCTGCCCACAAGGTGAAACTCATCCCTGGAACTTGTATTTGGAGCTAAGAGCATGTGACTAGACAGATCATAGCTCCAACTACTATCACTCTGATAAATGGGCACAGTGTTAAGCTGAGTCTTAATGGTTTGCTGTTATACCCATAAGCAGGGCATCTCTCAAATCTCTGCTTCCTTTTGCAGTTATGGTGTTATCAGAGACCTACAACTGGTCATGGTACAGAGAATAAGAGACTTCAGAGTGCTTAACCCTAAATGGGGCATCTGTATCCCATCCCCTTCTTCTAAGGCTCATGGGTAATTGTGGTAAGATGTGTAGAAAAACACTAAGAGCCAGGAACAATGGATGACCACAATGAAATAGTGTTTTTTGGACACACCAGAGCAGGCAGTTGCACGCATGAACTCACAGTGGTTGTGACAACACACACAAGACCCACATAAGCTCAAGTCAGACAAAATCTCAGCCTGGAGAAGGGAAGTGGGCATGAAGTCCCACTCTTGGCTGAGGAGCTAGTGAAAATGGATAGCTACCAGGAGATGGAGAGTCAACTTTCCTTTAAGGGTGTGGCCCCTACTAGGTCTATCATGCTCCAGTGGTTGGCCACACATTCAAGTGTATATAGACACTCTTAATAGGACCGGACAGTTTTGTTTTTTCTTAGAAAAAATAACGATGCAAAACTGGGTAGGTATGGAACGGGGGTTGAGTCTGAGAGGGGACGGAGGAGGAAGGTGAATATTATCAAGATACAATATGTGAAATTCTCAAAGAATTAACACAACTTTTATGTATTTTGCATATCTGACTAAGTATTTTATGGATTTGAGTAAAAAGAAGCAAAGAATTTAAAAGAAAATATTAATCAGGTGATGTGTAGATGTGCTAACAAGCCGGTAGGTGGCAGTGTTGTGAGAAAGGAGGCTGAGGCTGGGAAGCATATTTTCCTTACCTTGGCCATCAACCCCAGCACACTCTCCTTGGTTATCACATTGGGTTTGTTTGTTTGTTTGTTTGTTTGTTTGTTTGTTTTTAAACAAAAATTAATCATTAAAGACAATTTTTACAGTTGGTGATATAACTCAAAAGTAGAGCCCTTGCCTAGTAAGCACAAGGCCCTGGTATTGAAAGGAAAAAAATGGGGAGTGGGATGGGGAGGATACCTAAAATCTAAAAAGACTAAATCTGTAATTTGTATGGAGAAAGAAAAAATATCATTTTTTCAACTGTGTTTAACAATAGGCAGCTCAAAAATTTCCAGAAAATAGAATGATTGAGTCCAGGCACACACTTTTAATCCCAGCACTCAGGAGGCAGAGACAGGTGGATCTCTGAGTTCAAGGACAGCCTGGTCTACAGAGTGAGTTCCAGGTCAGCCAGGCTACAAAATGAGACACTGTCCCAATCAATCAATCAATCAATCATCATCAATCATAATGGCCAATGTGTGTGTTTGCACATGTGCAAGCTTGTTTGTTTGTGCATTTGTTGGGGAAGCAGGCATGGGTGGACATACAGCCCAGATGTAGAGACCACAGGCCAACTTCAGTCATTGTCCTCAGACATCTCTCTTCATTCAAGGCAAGATCTCTCATCTGGCTATTTTTAAATGTAACACTCCTGGCTTACCACTTACATTTCTTTTTGGGATGTCTTCACTTGGTTGGCAGTTGGAGACCCCATTTTTATCCAGGTTGGGTAATTTGCCACTATTACTATTTTTTTCAGTAGATATTTTTAAATTATTATTATTTTTAAATCTGTTATTCCAGGAATCATAAGTTCTATCAGTACAGACTTCTCTTCCCTTCCTCTCCTTCTTCTGACAGAGCAGGGTGGCACCTCATATGAACTTAGGTACCTTTCTCTTTGAGTTCTTTCTTTCCTTTTTTACATTTTTTTTATCCATGTCAGTAAATTCTTTCTTCTCTTAGAGTGCTTCAACATATAAAGAACCCTACCCTTGTTTTTTGACAGTGATGCCAACTGCATGTTGGGCAACCTTTAGGTGCTTCTGGTTTTACTATGATAACACTTTTTTTTTTTTTGGTTTTTTAAGACAGGGTTTCTCTGTATAGCCCTGGCTGTCCTAGAACTCACTCTGTAGACCAGGCTGGCCTCGAACTCAGAAATTCACCTGCCTCTGCCTTCCAAGTGCTGGGATTAAAGGCATGCGCCACCACTGCCTGGCTCTATGGTAATACTTATGGGGTACTGTTTTTGAAGAGTACATCATGAGTAGCTTTAATTGTCAACTTGACATAGCCTGGAGTCATCTGAGAGGCAAGCCTTAAGTAAAGTTTAGCCTATGGGTATATCTGTGTGGGTTTGTCTTGATTGGTAATTGACACAGGAGGGACCAGCCCACTGTAGATGGTACCATCTTTAGGCAGGTGGTCTTATACATCCTTGGACTGTATAAGAAAGCTAGCTATGATGATCCTTAACAACAATCTATGTGTCCTTAACAGACAAACATTTATCAGTATAGCCACAGATACATGTAGTATTTGCCCTTCTTCAAAGAAACTTCTCTTTGTCACACATGAAGATTCCTACAAAAAATCACAGCCAATCAAACTGCAGAGTTGTGGAGCCCTGTTCCAATAGATACCTCTACAAAACACTCCCATACCTAAGGCTCAGGCTATGTTGCAGAAGAGGGAGGGACACACACACACACACACACACACACACACGGCTGGAGAGATGGCTTAATGATTAAGAATATTGACTGCTCTCTCAGAGGACCCAGGTTCAATTTCCAGCACCTATATGGCTGCTGATAACCACCTGTAATTCCTGTTCCAGGGCATCTGATGCCCTCTGCAAGCAATGTGCACACATGAAATACATACATCCAGGAAAACCACCTATATACATAATCTAAAAAAAAGTATTGGTAATTGATTTACTAATTTGGAACACTATGACAAAACACCTTTATCTGGTTAACTTTAGAACAACATAGGTTTATTGCTCAAAATTTGAGAGGCCCAAAGTCCAAGATTGAGGGGCTGGCAAGATTCAGTGTTCAGCGAAGTTCACTTCCTGGTTCATGGATTGAGCCTTTCCACTCTCCTCACATGATAGAAGGGTTCAGAAGCCTCTCTTGGCCCTCTGTTATAAGGGCCCATTAATGGTGGCTTCACTTTAAGTCCAAGCCTTCCCCTAATACTTTCACACTGGTGATTCTGCTTCAGTGTAAGAATTTCAGGGAGCTGGGGTCACAGCCTAATTGGTAACGTGCCCATCTGGTAGGTAAGGAAGAAAGAATGAGTCCAAGCCCTAGAACCTATATTTAAAAAGCCAAGTATGGTAGCATGTGATACAATGGTAGACCTGGACAGGCAGGGATGAGGGCTCCCAAGGATGTCCTCACTTGCTCAGCCTACTGGGTGAGTTCCAGTCAAAGACCCTACCTAAAAAAAAAAGTTTTTAAAAGAGTGGACAGTTGGGGCTGGAGAGACAGCTCAGCTGTTAAGCGTACTGACTGTTCTTCTAAAGGTCCTGAGTTCAATTCCCAGCAACCATATGGTGGCTCATAACCATCTGTAACGGAATCTGATGTCCTCTTCTAGTGTGTCTGAAGAGAGCAACTGTGTACTTACATACATAAAATAAATAAATCTTTAAAAAAAAAGAGTGGTCAGTTTCAAGATTTTTCTCTGGTCTCCACATGTATACACACATACATGTGTCTACACACATATGAACAAACTCACACTCATGTATACAAACACACACACACAGAGACACAGGACTGTAGCTGCCTACAGTTTGTAGGTCTCCAGGTTGCTTCCCTGCCCTAAACTGACTCTCATTTGATATCTTCAGGGTTTCCTGAAGGCAAAGAATAATCTAGAACACATGTTATGTTCCCAGCTTTCAGACTAGCTGTGTTTGCTGTCACCTATGCAGATTTTGAAACAACAGATCAGGGACCTAAAACCAAGACTCCCAAGTCCACCCCCAGGTGGAAAGTGTCTGGGGCACTCCACACTGCACTAAGAAACTTACCAGGTCAGAGTTTGTGCATAGATTAGTTCTAGAACATTCCTGGCGATGTCAAACTCCTGTAGGCTGAGACTGGTGATGAATTTCATGCCAATGAGCCTGTGAGAATGAGCTGGGCTTAGTACTCAAATGACAATTCAGAGACCTCCACCCACTGTGACAAACAGCAACAGGGACCCTCAATAGCTAAGAATGAAGCTGCAGAGCAAATGCTCAAGGCCCCGGTCTGCAGCAAGTTCTTCAGTAGTGGAGTTAAATGGGGAGGTGCAGGCCTAACACAAGGCGGTCAGGTAGGGGACTACTACGGTCAATGCAAACTGCCCTCTGTAGCCCAGTTGGCCCACCGACTTTCTAGTTCATCCATTCTTTGCTTATTAGTTTTTGTTTTCCCCCATGAAGCAGATAAACTGAGCAAATGCATCTTTAAATTTTTTTTTGTGTGTGCTGAGGATGGGGCCTTGCATATGCTAAGCATGCACTCTGCCACTGAGCCACCCAAACCGCGGTATGGGTGCTGCTCTGGAGCCAGTGATGGTCTGTGTTCTGCGAAGAAGAAAGCAGGTTCACTGTATACTTTGGGGAAACTTGATCCTTTTTTGTTTCCTGTTTTCTTCAATAATATTTTTGTTAAATCTTTGAGACTATCACACAACGCACCACCTTCCTACCCACCTGACTCTGAATTCTTCTCTCTTACTGTCAAGTCCAGTTTGTGTTGTCCAACTGCTCTTGGGAGTGGGGCCTGCCCAGCCCTGGCACACTGCTGACCCACCAGGGCTTACATTTATTTATTTATTTATTTATTTATTTATTTATTTATTTATTTATTTATTGGGTTTGGGTTTTTGAGACAAGGTTTTTCTGTGTAGCCCTGGCTTTCCTGTAACTATGTTTGTAGATCAGGCAGCCCTCAAACTCAGAGAGATCTGCCTGCCTGGGACGGCCGCTGGAGTGCTGGGATTAAAGGTGTGTGCCACCACTGCCTGGTTCAGATTGTTCTTTAATGACATGTTCTTATTTCTTCTCTTACTATGGTTGTTTTAAATCTTTGTTCATGTGTCTGATATGCGTATGTGTGTATCTGCACACTTTCGTGCGTGCACACATGGCACAGTGTGCATATAGAAATCACAGGACCATATTGGGTATTAGCCCTCACATTCTACCTTGTTTGAATGGCTCAAACAAGGATGAGTAGTTTAGGGGTTGGGGCGCTCCTGTCTCCCATTGGGAGCACTGGGATTATGTATGTGCTACCACGACTGGCTTTATGTGGGTTCTGGGGATTTGAACTCAGGTCCTCATGCTTGTATGATAAACATTTCACTCACTGAGCCATCTCTTCAGCCAGATTTCATTATACCAGATGTGAGCTTCCATCTCCCCCAAAGTCTGTTAAACAACAAACAAGCTTCTCCACAGAGAAAACCTGGCATTATATCATGGCATCTCACTCTAGAGAAACTGGAGGCCACACAGGAGTGTCCAGGACTGGGGCGTTGCTAAGTGGGAGAGAACGCGCAAGTCCCAGACCTTGAGTGACAGCCTCAGCAAAAGCAACACCTAGAAAGAAGAGAGGTGTGCATAGCAAATTATGACAGAGTGAATGAATAAAAAACGAAGCAGAGCCACACAGGACTCGAGTAGGACTCGTGGTGGGGTGATCACTTAGCACTTTGTGTCTCTCTCCACCCCAGCATTGCAAAAACTAAAAAAAGAACCACATCTGGCCAATGGTCACAGTGCCTCAATCCTGTACATTGACCTAAAATAAACACCAGTGACTTAATTATCTTAAAACAATGAGCTAGGTATATGCAACATGGTCTGCTACATAGAAGTATTGTCTGTAAGGACCCTACTAACCTTAAACAAGGATCCTTATGCTCTGCGCAGCAAAACCACAAGAATTGCATTTTTTTTTGGAGATTACAGAGGATGATATAGTATGCGCATGTGTGGCAATGTGTATGTAGAGAAATCTGGGAGGGAAATCAGTCTAGCTGGGTGTGGTGGTACACATCTATAATTCCAGCACTTGAGGCTGAGGCAGGAGGTTTGCTAGGAGTCCAAGGCTGGCCTGTGCTGTGTAGCAAGTCTCTGTTTCAAACAACAACAACAACAACCCCACCAACAAATATGGAGGAATACACACTGGACTATTAAAATCATCAGCAGCAGCCGGGCGGTGGTGGCGCACGCCTTTAATCCCAGCACTTGGGAGGCAGAGGCAGGCGGATTTCTGAGTTCGAGGCTAGCCTGGTCTCCAGAGTGAGTTCCAGGACAGCCAGAACTACACAGAGAAACCCTGTCTCGAAAAACAAAAACAAAAAAACAAAAAAAAAAAATCATCATCAGCAGATAAGGGTTTTATCGTGGGCTGCAGAGATGGCTCAGCTATTGAGAGTACTGACCGCTATTGCAGAAGATCCAAGTTGAGTCCTCAGGACTGACTGACTGACTGGCTCACAACTGCCAGTTAACTGCAGTTCTGGGGAATTTGACATCTTCTTTGGGTGCATATACACAAACAATAAATAAAACAATCTTCAACAATAACACACGTGTGGTGGGAGCTCCGGCAGTGGTGCAGTAACTGCCCTGCTTTCAGAAGCCCTGATTTCCATTCCCACATCACAGACCAAAGACAAAGGGATAGATAGATTCCAAGTGGCCTCATTTCTGTTTTATTTCTGGAATTTTTGTCCAAACAGAAGGTTGGACAGGGTCAACCTAAACCCAGTGAGCTGTTAGGTTGAGGCAAAATGTAGTAAAGTTAGAAGAGAACAATGCCCTGCAGGACAGTGGGCAGATTGGACACACACAGCAGGCAAGGTGGCACCCTCCCTCATCCCCCACATCCCCACACTTTCTGCTCAGTCAGGAATCAGGCTCTGGTTACAGTGTCACTCACAACTGATTAACATTTACCTCCTCAGAAACTCTCCCAGTAAGGAATCAGCCAAGGAGAACACAAAGTCCATGAGAAGGAGCCGGTAGATATCCTGGCCAATGAGGGTCTCCCAGCACTGGAAGGCAGGCATGAATGAGGATCAGGGCTCATGTAGGCTCAATTTGACCACACTCTCTGTACCCAGAAAAGGAGATTTAATCTGCAAAAACAGCCGTGTGCGTGTGTGTGTGTGTGTTTCTGTACTTCCCTCCATACCCCGTAAGGCTTACTGTTCACATGTGCTAAAGTCTTCTCACCTCATAAGCTCTACTTCTAAGATGTTCCATGTCTGCCCTGCCCCTTCTAGACCCCATGTCCTCACCAGGGCTAAGCATTTTCTTCAGGAGAGTAAGAAGCACAGAGGGATAAGAATGTCCCTCCCATTGCTGCGTATTGACTTCTACGTTGTACAAAAATATGTAACTTGCAAGTAATGAAAATGTTATTTTTAAGAGTGACTAGAGGTTTGCACAAGTTGGTGTGAGCTGGTGGACAGCAATCTCTACAGGAAGTCAGAACTATGAGAGGACACACCCGCACCTTCCATAACCAGCTGAAGAAGATGGAAGCTTTCCAGATATAGCCTAAGGATTCATGGATGGATGGGCAGACAGATGAGAAGAAGAATGGATAGATGGTAGACGAAGCGGGAAATAAGACTCAGTAGATGGATGGGTGAATGGATGGATGGGAACATGACTGGATAAGTGAATGCATGGAAAGATACGTGTCTAGGTGGATAGATGGATGGAGGAATGGATGGATGATTATCGGGTGGATACATGATAGTTGAGTAAGTGGACCACTGGGTTAATAAATGGAGGGATGATATGTAAATTAATGAATAGATGGTTGGAAGAGTAAATGGGTAGACAGAAGTACAACATGATATCCTCTAACATCCTAACTTGAAAAGCTGGTTTTGAACATCTTTGATGATTAGGATTAAGTGAAAATACTATGTTATGCGAATAATTTAAGTCCAGACATAGCAATGTTTTTTGGCCAGTGTGGGCCCTCAGGGACCCAGAGTGCTCCAGCACTGGAAGTGGAGTCAGAGAAATAAGAGATCTCTTACTCTTTGTCACAACCTAGACACTCTGTATGATAAGAGGTTTTTGTTTTGTTTGTCACAGGAAACAAGTGGTAGAAGGAGAGGCATTCCAAGGAACCAACAGGATTAGCTTTCTCTTGAGGCCACATGGGGCAGCACTGTGAGGCGCGAGGTCTCAAACCCATGGTCGGAGGCTGGAGGAGGAGAAAAGCCATGCTGAGTGTGTGAGAGGGACAGTCAAGGTTAGGATGTGACCGTGCAGATAAGCTACATGTCTGCATATCAGCAGAGCCCATGGTGTCTGGAGTATGAACAAAACTCACCACACCTCAAGAAGGATCTTGTGCCCAACCTCAGGCTACTTGGAAAGATTAGCATAGAAATTTCAGTCTATTGTATGACCACCAACGGTTGGTCACAGTACTCGCACTAACCCTGAAAGTGAGTAGTACCTGTCTTACAGATACTGAAGCTAAAGACACTGAGTGTATTTGATTGGCGTTTCAGCTCTTCCACAAAGCCCTCCTGCTTTATGCTGCCTCCCAGACCAGCTTCTCTTTTCTCCTCTTCCCAAAATGAAGTGTGATGGCTATCAGGAAACTCAGTCTTTTTGGTGATTGAAGGCCAAGAAACAAAACTCAAGGCAGAATAGATCAACACATAAATCTCACCTCTTCGCCAGACAGGGCCACGATGTTGAGCCAATAGTAACAAAGAATTCCAACAATAGAGATCTTCAGAAAGATGTTTCTAAGTAACAGAAGAGAAGACAGCTCTGGTCACCCTCGTTGGTCACACTCTTTGGCAGTCTCCTGTTCCCTGGAGCCATTTGGTAGGATACACATTTCTACATTTCTGCCTACCTACCTCCGAGGCTGAATATGCCCATAAGTTTTAGAAGATGAACTATGATCAGATGTGCCATGTGTCAGTTCTAGCCTCGAGCACTGCATGTTACCCTGACAGCTTCCAGAACGTACTGTCCTTCTCTGCACCGGCAGTTGGCACTATCTTAGATGTGCATTGATGCCTCAACCTGGTCCCTTGCTGATTAACATGCACATAACCCTTTCTCCAGTCTACAATGTACGTGTAACACTGGCAAGAAGTAAACTTTTGTGCCTCAGGCCACTGAGACTTGGGGAAGATTGTTACTGCAGCAAAACTTAATCTGTTCTAACTAATACACTCTTCTGTTGACCCTGCAAATGATCCAGGTTCTCTTCCATTAAAGCCCATTATAGTATTAAGAAATGTGCTTAATATTTATCTATAGAATACTTACCCAAGATGCTCTACTGAAGCCCTTAGTGAATCATCTCCCTTAAACTTTATAACTCTATCACAGGAACCTATCTTATCCAAACTTCAAGTGAAACCTCTAATATTTGCCCCTTCGTGCATGCCTAATGCATTAGCTACTTTTCTCATTGCTGCGGCCAAATACCTGGTAAGAAGTGAATTAAAGAGGGTTTTGTTTTGTTTGGCTCACAGTTTGAGGGTGAACTCCATTACAGAAGGGAAGACATGGTAGCAGGAGCATGAGCAGCTGGTCACATTGCATACACAGTCAGGAAGCAGAGACAGGTGAACCCTGTGTTTAGCTTATTCTTTGCTTTTCATTCAGTCTGGAAACCTAGCCCTAAGGATTAGGGGTGTGCACAGCTGGGATGGATCTTCCCACTTCCAAAAACCCAATCTAGAAATTCCCTCACAGACATGCCCAAAGATCTGTCTGCTATAGATCTGTCTAATGATTATAGATCCTGTCCAGTTGATAATCAATATTAGCCATCACACCTAAGAAAGTGGACCCCTGTCCTGTGGGTGAATTGGGAGGAATAATGGTGCTACAAAAATTATTTATGGCTAGAATTTTCATAATATAAATGGAAAATTATTGACTCATTTATTTATTGAGTCAGTCATTCACTTATTACTCTTGAGCATCTGGTATGCCCCAGGTACTGTAAATAATAAAACAATTTCCCCATATAGTGTGGGTGTGTAAGAGAGAGAGACAGACAGAGAGACAGAGACAGGGAGAGAGAGACAGAGAGACAGAGAGGCACATATACTGCTGGGAGAGATAATAGATAAATTACTACAAAGTGGAAGAAAATGACAATGTAAGGAATGAGGGTGGTAGGGAAGAACTCCATGAAGAGGCAACACTTGAGTAGAAGTAAAAATGAAGTCAGGAAGTGAGCCCCAGGGCTGTTATGTGGGAGGAGAATTTTAGGCAGAGAGACCAACCAGAGCAGAGGTAGCTATGGAGCTAGACCTATCTGAGAACACTTGGAAGGCCAGTGTAGGGCACAATAAGGAAACAGATAGAAAAGGAGGCTGGCACATGGGCCTTGGGCCAGATGCCACAGAGAGGAATGACTCTGGAGGTCATCAGTGAAGACACTTTGTGCAGATCCATGGTCAGAGCCAGGAGTCAGCCAGAGGATCAGCTAGGAAGAGCCACAAGGACCAACAGAAACTGGGTAGGTAGCTTTGGTCTTTGTTCATCAAACACACGTCTTTACATCCGAATGGGCATCACCAAGGAGTGCTGGCTTTGAGCTGGTGAGTCACCCAGAACATCCTCCCTTTTGTTTTGATAGATATGCCTTCTCCTGCATGAAGCAATGGGTACTAGGGCTGCTTAGGCAGAACCCATATTACAGTGGCTATACTTGAGGATTAAGTTAATCCCCGGGCCAGCCCTGTGTGAGTTCCTGTCCTGATTTCCTTCAGTGATGAACAGCAATGCGGAAGTGAAAGCCCAATAAACCCTTTCCTCCCAACTTGGTCTTGGCCATGATGTTTCATCGCAGCAATAAAAACCCAACAAAGCAGCTGTTAACCCAGCATATGACACATCGTTCCTGGAATGCCTTCCTTCAGAAACAGAACTTTGACATTTGAATGGAACCCCTTCTAGCTCCGGGAAATGAGCTAAAACCAGGCTTAGCACACCTACCGGATCAAGAGGACGTAGACTTCCTGTCTCGGTATTTCATACTTCTCCACCAGGCGAAACATGGAGTAGAAGCGAGGCACAGCCAGGTTGATGCAGGACACAACAAAGGGCAGTAACAACACCGCCCCAGGGTTCTTGTGCGTCTTCAGGAACTGCAGAATGGGAGGATAAGCTTGAGAGGTCCACAGAGCTGTGGACCCTCTCCACACTCAGAGGGTCTGAAGTAGAGAACCCCACACACAGGTTTTTCTGAGGCATACTGAGTCTCAGAGAGGTAAATACATTTTCCCAGGGTCACTCAGCAAGGAAGCACAAGATCAGAGCAGTGTGCCAGTTAGTTTTTCTTGTCAATCCTATACAACCTAGAGCCAAGGGGAACACCAATTGGGGAATCGTCTAGATCAGATTGGCCTACGGCCGCGTGTGTGGGATATTGTCCTGACTGTTAATTGATCCAGAAGGGCCAAGCTCAGTGTAGGCAGCACCATTCTTAGACAGGTGTTTCTGGGCTGTATCAGAAAGCTAGCTGAGCACGAGCCTGTGAGGGAGCCAGACTGTTTACCCATGGTTCCTGTCTCCTGTGAGGGAGCCAGACTGTTTACCCATGGTTCCTGTCTCCATCCCCAGTAACAGATTGTGACCTGGACGTGTAAGTCAAGTAAGTCCTTTCCTCTCCAAGTTGCTTTTATTTAAAATGTTTCACACCAACTGAGCAAAACTAGAACAGCTCTGCTCAAACTTGGCTCTCCTTACCAGGAAACCTTGAGCTACGAAATTGAGTTCTCTTGCTGTGGAAACAAAATCTATTTTAGCCATGAGGCAAGGAAACTAAACACTGTGGGATTTCTCCTGCCACTCTTTTCTTATTGTTGTTATATTATCATTATTATTATATGTGTGTTGGGTTGGAGGAGTTGAGACAGGATCTCAACATGTAGGCTTGGCTATCCTGGAATTCACCATGTAGATTAGGCTGACTTCGAGCTCATAGAGTTCTGCTTGCTTCTGCCTCCCAAATGTTAGAATTAAAGGCATGTGCCACCATGTCTGGCCCCCCAAACAAAACAAAAAACAGAATTGAGAACATGATCCCAGCTCTCTGCCAAAGTCCCACCTCCACAGGAGCCTGGTGCACTTTGCCCTGTGATGTGCATTACACCATGGGGACTCCTCAGTGCAGATCTGGCCGTGAGAAGAGGATGGTTCCTCAGTTCGAAGCAAGGCTCTATGGGTGCAGCTGCTGCTGGTCACAGGGCCCAGTTCGAGGCCTCTGCTCTACATCTGCCCAACAGTCTCCCAGTCCTCCCCAGTTCTCTCTGCTCTGGCCCTTAGGGTTACCTCAGAGTTATACTCAGCCAAGTAGTATACAGCTACACAGCAGGCTACAGTCACTCCAGTGGAGACGAGCCAAGCAGCTACGTGAACAGAAAATCGGGTCAGCTGCTGGTTGAGTGTGAGCCTGTCGTTCTCCTGGCGGATCTCAGACAGGTTCTCCTGCAAGTGCCAGACAGTCAATGGGACCCATTGGTCCTTCCCTGCTTGTCAGCAGAGATCCTCAGGAATACAGGGCCAGCCCAGACCACACAGGAGTGGCAGGGCAAGTCTGTGCTGCAAGTCTGCAAGGTGGATCATGGGAGAACAAGGGGGAACCTCAGGATGGCAGAGAAGCACAAGGACTTCAAAATTCATTTCCATCTTGGAGGAACAGAGAGAGATAAGAGACCCACAGTCGTGGTGTGCTTTCTTCTGTGCTGCCTCCTCTGTCCCTTCTTTCTCTTTCCTCCTCTCCTTCCCTCCTCATTGTCTCTCTTCATCTTCTCCCTCCCTCCTCCCCTCCCTCCCTTCCTCCCTCCCTCCCTCCTTCTCTTCTTCCCTCCTTCCCTCTTTTCCTCCCTCCCTCCCTCCCTCCCTCCCTCTTTCCCTCCCTCTCTCTCTCCCTCTCCTTCCCTCCATCCATCCTTCCCTCTCTCTCTTTCCCCTCCCTCCCTTCCTCCTTCAGTCATTCTCTTCCTGCCTTCCTTCTCTTTTATCTTTGTGTTTGGGGGAAACAAGGTCTTACTGTGTAGCCAAGCCTGCCCTTAAACACACAATCCCCCAGCCTCTGCCTCCCCAGGATGGCAGGTGTACACCATAACAAAACACTCAACAGAAGCCTTTTCTTAAATGAACAATTCTGAGAACTGCTTGGGGGAAGAAGTTAAACCTGTCATCAATGCTCATTTATTGATAATTTATAATTATTTCTCTATTTTATTTTGTTTTGGTGGACTTTACTGTTATTGCTGTTTTGCTTTGTATTTTGAAACAGGGTTTCACTCTGTAGCCCTGGTTGACCTGGAACTCCCTATTTTGTAGATCAGGCTGGCCTGGGATTCCAGCATCTGCCTCTCCGATGCTGGGATTAAAGGCACAGGCCACTACACCTGGCTGCTTCACTCTTTTTGAGAAATGAACTTGTCTCTGTAGGCCAGGGCAGCTCAGCCACTGCATTTGGCATGAAGACTGTGCTTTCCTTATTCATGGAATGCTTCACGGCATCCCAACCTCCTCCCACTAGACACCATCGAACCTTGACCCTAATTGTAGCAACTGAAAAAGACCTCCAGAGACAGCCCAACCTCCCCCTGAGGGACACTGCTGCACCAGGTGGAAACTCACCGCTCTAGAGTAGAAATGTTTTAAGAGGAAGCTCAAGAACTGGATGTGTTTTCAGAGAAATTGTTAAACTGGCCTCAGTGAAGGCTGAACCCATCATAGAGCCTGACATGATGGCATTAGGTATTATCCATAATAAAATATTTTATAGACAAGACCATGAGTGGAGGCAAAGGTCTATAATCTCAGCACCAGGGAGGGGAAGGAGGATCTTAAATTCCAGGTCAGCCTGTGATACACATGAATGCTCCCTCTATTCCCACTCCCCTACCCCCCACCCCTGAAGGCCTGGAACTCACAGAGACTCACCTGCCCCTGCCTCCTGAGGTGCTGAGATTAAAGGTGTACACACCTCAGCCTGGCTGAAACCCTATCTCAAAAGGAAAGAGGAAGGGAAATGAGAAAGGGAAGGAAAAGCAGGGAGAGGGAGGGGAAGAAGAAAAAAGCTGTAGACATGCAGGGGTGTGGAAGGCTGGTGGAGGAGGACTTTGTGGGGAGGACGCTGGAGTCTGGGACTTACTCTGATCTCCGTGCTCAGATTCTTCTGTTTTAGCTTTACAGCTTTTTCATGGGTGACAGTGAAGTCCCAGCAAAAGATGAGCTTGGCAATCCCTCTGGAGTATATGTGGGGGTTGATGAAGTTGTTCCGGAAGTACTTGGCCATGCTGGGGAAGGCAGAAACCAAGACGTCTAAGCATTATTATGAAGGTGTTGAGGTATGCAGGGATGAGATATGTCACTCACTGATAACAAAAGGCAATATGGGCAGTCCAAACTCTTCCCTCAAAGAAAGGGAAATCACCAGCACAATGCTATACAGGTGACAGCATCAAACAGGCATAGCCTGAAAGCCTGAAGTCTGTCAATAGAGGACTCTTTGCCCCCATTAAGTGTTCTGAGCTTCAGTTTCCACATCTGTATGATGGGGATAACAACAATATAACCTCACAGAGATATTATGAGAGTGCCATCCATGTTGCTACAACAAAAGATTATCAAGCTATTGCTTAATACACCATAGGGGCATAATCTAACATTTCTGGGATCAGAAGTATAGAAGGGTCTGGAGACATGATTCAAACAGTAAAATTCTTGCTGTGCAAACATGAAGACCTGAGTTTGGATCCCCAGAGCCAAAGAAAGAATGCAGAGTATGGAAGCATGTGCTCACAATCCCAGATCTGAGGACACAGTGACAAGTCTATCCCTGAACCTAACTGGCCAGCCAGTCTAGGTACAGGCTAGTAGGAAATCCTGTCTTAAAGGAGATGGACAACATCCAAGAAGAGACCCAGAGTTGTTCTCTAGTTTCTACATGCTCATGTGTGTACCTGCACGCGCGCGCACACACACACACACACACACACACACACACACACACAGAGGATATGGATATTGTAGGGATGATGGCAAGATGTCACAGGTTGGCCTTCTTCTGAAGGATCTAGAACTGAGCCCATTCCCTCACCTTCTCCAGCTTCAAGTAGCTTTCCTCCATCTTTTGCTTGCAGCACCCCCCCTTTCAAGGCCAGCAGATAACAAGCATACTCCTTCCCTCCCTTCAGCTGCTCCCTTCCTTCTGACTTTTCATCTCCTTCTTCAGGGTTCCTGTGTTTCTATTGGACCCACTTGGATAATCCAAGACACCCCTACCCACGTTTAAGATCCTTAATCAACATTTGTAGAGGTCATGTGTTGATTTGTTTTTGAGACAAGGCATCCCTATGTAGCCCAAGCTAGCTCGGAACTCACTATGTAGGTCAGGCTGGCCTCAGACTTGCAAAGTTTTTCTTGCAGAATAGCAGATGTCAACCACCCTGGCCAGTGCCCATTTGTGTTGTGTGATGGTTAATCTTTGCCATCTTGATTAAACTAAGAGATGCCTCTATTACTAAATCACTCTTTGGTATCTAAGAGGATGTTTCCAGAGATGACTAAAGGGGAAAAGGCCACCATGAAGGTGGGAACGTAGTAGGAACCCAGATGAGACAGAGAATGGGGGTGGAAGCTGAGCAGTGCAGAGCTCTCTCTGCTCCCTGGTTACAGAGAGGCAAGCAGCTTGCATCTCCACCAACTGTTCTGCCTCACCTTGGCCTAGGAACTGTGACTCCAAGGGACCATGGACATGAACCCTTGAGTTGTGTACGGCAACAGTTTTGTCAGTGATGCAGATGAACATACAGAATAACATGCCCATGGGTTCTAGGAGTCAGGAAATGGGAATCCTGGGGAGACATTAGTCAGAAAACCACAGAGCCACAGCAGGAGGCATTCAGTTAGCCTCTGTTGTGAGATAATAGGGTATCTCAGACCGGAAGTCCATTGGCATACAGCTGGTCATGTTGTCAATGTGAAGTGAAGCCAATACTGCCCTCCCATGATGCATTGCCACTTGGTGACAGCTGAGAGAATGTGTTCCAGTTTGATAAGTTTCAATAAAGTCCAATTTTTTTTTTTAAACAATGATGCTGCCAGCGAGGTTACACGAGGCCTGGGATGCAACTCCTCTCCAGAACTACAAAAGAAAATGAAAAAAGAAGGAAGGAGAGGATGAAGAGGAAGACGAGGAGGAGGAAGAGGAGGAGGAGGAAGAGAAGGGAGAGAAGAGATAGGAGGAAGAAAGAGGGTGGAGATGAGAAGGGTGTTTAGAACCGGATAGGTACAGTGAAAGACATGGTGAAGACAACGAAAGATGGATGTCCTAGTTAGCTTTCCACCACTGTAACACATATACCTACAACAGTCAGCTTACACAGAGAGAAGGTTTGCTTTGGTTCAGATTTAGAAACTTCTGTCAAAGTCTAGTTGCTCATGCTGCTCTGGACCCATAATAATGCATCATGTCAGGCAGGAGAGTGCTGAACAAATCTGCTCAGCTCATGGCCAGGAAGTGGAAAATTGAGAGCAGCAGGGGTCAGAGCCCCAAAATTCCCTCTGAGGGCAGGCCCTCAATGACTTGAAGATCTCCCATTAGACTGCACCTGTCACATCCTAGATCCAAGCTATAGTGATGGCCTTCGATAAACCAAGGAGAGGCTTCCTTAGAAGAAACCAACCTTGCTAGCCCTTTCATCCGGAACTACTGGCCTCCAACCCTGTGAGAAGACAGATTTCTATTGCCTTAATGCCAGGGTCCTCTGCAGATGACTACAGAGGCTGACACACTCCTGAGCTCACTTCGCATCTGGGCCTCCTCTCTGCAGACTGACTGTCTCTCCACCTTGTCTAGCCTGTGCAATTGCTCAGCTATCTTGTCTGTTGTTAGACTGATCACTTAATTCCTTAAAAGCACACAAGCACCTGTCTTCTTCTATCCCTCTTATATTCTGCACTGTAAAACAGGGAGTACACAGATAGCAGTAGTCACCATTGCAGAGAAGCTGTGCTCTGGGCCAGCTTTCATTTGGAGACAAGGACTCACCATGTATCCCACGCTGGCCTTGAACTCAAAATCCTCCTTCCTCACCATCTCAAGGGTTAGGATGACCACTGTACACCATTATGCCTAGCTTTTTGGATTACTGCTGGAGTTTCTTGAAGTTTGCCTAAATCTAAGAAGAGCCTTAGGGGGTGGGGAGATAGCTAGGTTGGTAAAGTATTTGTCACTCAAGAACAAGGATGAATTCAATTCCCAGAACCCATGTAAAAAGTAATCTGTATATGGTAGTGGACACTTATAATCTCAGCACTGGGGGCGCAAGGACACATGGCTCCCTGGAGCTCAAGAGACAGCCAGATAAGCTGTCCAAGGCAGGTTCCAAGCCCAAAAGAGACCCTATTAAACACGAAACAAAACAAGTAAGGTAGAAAGGTTGAAAGTACTTGAGGGACAGAAGACACCCAAAGTTGTCTTCTGTCCTCAAATGTGGACACATTTTCTGACTCCTACTAATGTGTACACATGTGTACATACAAATGCATACATGTGCACCCACACAAATAAAATAAGCTTTAGGATCAGGTCAGAATCTCTACCTGAAGAGTAGACTGAAGAAGCAGATGACCAGGCAGGCTCCGATTGTGAAGATGTAGGCCAGCTGCATGTTGTAGGATGCTCCTCCCATCCTATGCCGGATTGTAGAGTTGGTATAGAACCCATAGTACATCACTGTGTCCCTAAAATAACCCTGATGGGAATAGTAAAGAGATCCAAGTTAAGTGACTTGGCTTGAGAGAGGTGAGTGGCTGTTTCTGCAGGTCTCTGCAGCTATTCGCATATTCATGGTCACCTCTTGGCATCCAAGGAGATCAGCTCTGGGGCTGCTGAAGAATCCACCAACTGCAGATGGTCAAGTCCTTTGCATACAGTGGCCTAGTGTCCACACCGAACCTGTGCCCATCCTCCCAGGTTCTAAATCACCTTGAGATGACACACCAAATACAGCATAAATGTTCTGTACATAGGTGTTACAGTGTGCAATTCGGGAATAATGACAAAGACCAGGACTGCTTATAGACATGATTCTTAAAATTTATTGTTTGTGAATGTGTGCATGCATGCGTGCCTGTGTGTGCTATGTGTGCATGTGCATGGTGTAAGTGCATGAGTGTGCTGGTGTCCCAAGAAGAAACAAGTGTTCTGCCCCATGACTTTCCACCTTATTCCCTTAAGATAGGGACTCCCATTGAACCGGGAGCTTGCTAGTTAGGAGGCTATGCTGGCTGGCTGTCCAATAACCCCCCTGCCTCTGGCCACCAGTGCTCATAGTACAGGTGCACACAGCCATGTCTGGCTTTGTTTATGTGGATGCTGGAGATCCTAACCCAGATCTTCACGTTTGTACAGAAAGGGTTCTTGAACACTAAGTAAACCCCTGGCCCCATCCTAGAGACATTTTGTACCTGTGGCTGAGTGAATCAAAGGGTTTAGAACTGTGGGACTGAAAGGTTGGTTGTAGTTTCCAAGGGAAGAGATCTGGATATTTTAAAAACAAGCTCCTGGAGTTGGAAAGAATTTCAAACCCAGGTGATTTTGCAGTTGAGGAACCCCACTGTGAGCATCCGAACTTGGGGATCAAGCCAAGCATCCTGAAAGCCAGGAGGTCAGACATCCTGAACCTCTGCCATCTATCAGTGTGTTGGCCTGACAGAGCAAACACAAGGGAGTGGCCAGACAATTCCAGGAGCCAGGACATCATTAGTGCCTGCATATTAGCTGCCGCCACTTTTTGTAAAAAAAAAAAAAGGGGGGGGGATGACCTGTCTTTGTAGACTATTTTCTCTTCCTGTATAAGCATCAACCCAGCAATTGATCAACAAGTAGATCAATGATAGATTCTAGGTAAATAAAGAAGCATAAGCACAGGAGACTGATTCATTAAAAATAAAGGCGAGGGCTGGTTGTGTTGCTGTCTGCACAGTGCTTGATTGGAATGTGCCAAGCCTGAGCTTTGCTTTCCCTGCACGATGAAAATAAAACACAAAAAAGTTTTTTTTTTAATTTTTTTTTTGTTTTGCTTCACCATGTATCTTGGGGAGTTTTATAAATCCATATTCTTCTTAGCATCAGTCAGAGTGTATCAACACAGCTGCCTGTTGAAGATTCTGACCTCTACCCTGTGAGCTGACATTGAAGAAGTGTCCGTCCTTGAGAGTCTGTAGAGCAGGGCTGCTACAACTACACCCCAAGGAACCTGCCTTTGCATCTCTATGAACTAGGACTGTGAGTGTGCATGAGTATGCACGTGTGCATGTGTGTGCATGTGTGTGTATGTTGTGTGTGGATGTGTATATGTATGTGTGTATATGCCTGTATGTGTATGTACATGTGTATGTGTGTGTGCATGTCTATGCATGGGTTGTGTATGTGAATGTGTATATGTATGTGTGTATGTGTCTGTATGTGTGTGTGTGTATGCATGTGTGCAAGTGTATGTGTGTGCATGTGTGTATATATGTGTATTGTGTGTACATGTTTATGTGTGTGTATGTGTGTATATAGTTGTGTGTATGTGTATATGTGTATGTGACTGTGTGCATGTGTGTGTGTGTGTGCAAGTATATATGTGTATGCATGTGTACATGTGTGTGCATGCTCACTGATTGAAAAAGAATCAAAGGCAAACATTTTCAGACATCAAGTCATGTTACTCTGAAATCATCCAACATGCAACTCTGAAAACAAAGAATCCACTCCTATGATCACATTGCCATTGTCATGTCTAACAAAATTAAGAATAAATTTCCAGGAATGAAGAGACGGCTGGCTTGTCAGTTAAGAACATTCGCTGCCTTCCCAGACAGCCTGAGTCTGGTTCTCAGCACCCACATTGGGCAACTCACAACCACCTATAACTCCTGGGGGTCTGATGCTCTCTTCTGACCTCTGCAGGTATCATACACATGTGAATACACACACAAAAAAAATATTAAAAATACTTTAAGGGATATATCCCAGCTTGGAGAATAGAGAAAAGAAGAAAGGGAAAATGGACTTTCCTTCATTTTACTCTGTAGTAGGAATTTTTCAGAAGAGGACTGTGTTTGTAGAAATAAAGAAAAGAGAAGAAACAAATTTCTAAACTAATGTGTCCACTGTAGAATGCTAATGGAAAGAAAACATATCTTGTAAGGAACTCTCGGCTTTTATAAGAATGGAGTGCCTGCTTCAGGGGTAGATTTACAAGGAAGTGGGGTATGGCTAAAACAACCTGTAACACTAGTTCCAGACCTCTGGGTGTTTTACTGACTCACCCTACAATGTCATGCACTCAGCACTTGAGGAAGAACCAGCCATTTCTCCATCAGGCAGAATGAGAGGTCTGAGTAGGCCTGAGGCAAGACCTTCCATTGTGGTCAACTTGAGTGGAGAACAGAGAACTTACCGCCCCAGTGAAAAACTCCAAGCCAGTGAACTGGAGGGTGTTCTTCTCACCCACGGTGAATTGTGGGATGATGATGAAGCTGAAGTTCATGACGAATGAGAAGATGTTGAACTTCAAAAGCCACCTCAGGAAGCTGAAATAGGACAGGACGCTGGTTCCAAACTTGCCTCCGATGACCTTGAATCTCTTCTGCCACAAGCTGATGTAATTGAGGAGCTCTGAAAGGCTGCTCTTGGTTCTGCGGTAAGCCTAGGGTAGAGAGACAAAGAGCAGGAGGCCTGATCCTCACTAGACAAGTGGCTCCTGAGTGGGTGTTGTAGTAGCCAAACAGCCCTGCTCCGAGAGCTCTGTTCCCAGCCAGGTAGCTTCAAGGGTCACTTACTGAGATGGCTTCATTCATATTCACAATGACCCTCTTGTGTATCCCCACTGTCACCTACCCAGGTTGTTCTAAATGGCCAGACTGGTCACTAACATCCTACCTTCCTGTTCCCACCTTTTTACTCCCATCCCATGTTGGCCTTTAGAGTTTGAATGTTGACTTCCCTTCCGTCCATCCCCCTTTCACCTCTGACCCTTGACCTCACTGCTGTCACAATCTTGCTCAGCTTATCCCATTTATCCACATGGATAAGCCCCAGAAAAAAGTAAATATTAAACTACCAAATGATGCAGCCTCCCACTTCCACATATGTGTACTGGTCAGTTTGTGTGTCAACCTAACACAAACCTAGATGTATCTAGGAACTGGAGACCTCAATTGAGGAACTACCTCCATCAGACTGACCGTAGCCCAGTCTGTGGGGACATTTTCCTGAATAATTGCAGTGGAGAGGACAGCTCACTGTGTGCTGTGTTACTCCTGGGCTGGTGGTCCTGAGCTGTATAAAAAGGCAGGCAGAGCAAGCCATGAGAAGCAAACTAGTAAGCAGCACTCCTCCATGCCTTCAGCTCCAGGTTCCTGCTTTGAGTTCCTACCCTGAAGTCCCTTCACCATGGACTGTAACCTCAGAAGCATAAGACAAATAAATTCTTCCTCCCCAGATTGCTTTTGGTTATGGTGCTTTCTTATAATAGTAACAATAGAAAGTAATCTAGCATAGTATATAGTGAAAGAGAATGAGATCAGCATACCAGTGAAGTTCCTGTAGTACCATATGCAAGAGCTAAGATAGAGAATTAACCTAGCTGTCCTCAGTGCATGGATGGGTAAAGATACTCACTCCCCACCCCCCCCCTCTGTGTGTGTACTACAAAGAATAAAACCGTATCATTTGCTGAAATGAAATGATGCAATATGCAAAAAACGAAACAATCCCAACAGACAAAGACACATACTGCATGCTCCCTCTCATATGTGGAAGACCGTGGAATAGTGATTACTAGAGGCAGGGGAGGAATGAGGGGAGGAAGGATTGAGAGGGACTGGGTAGAAGGAACGAGTGCTGGTATTTCAAGTGGGATGACCATAGCTCACAAAAATCTATATTTTATATAAGGATCTAGAAGAGAGCACCTCAAGGGCTAAAAGAGTAGAGTGAACGTTTAGCATGTGCTCAACCTTGATTCAGCACTACGAGTGAGAAAGAAAGGGGGATGGAATGAAGGCATAAAGGAGACAAGGAAGGCAGGTAAGTAGGAAGCAGAGAGGAAGGAGAGTGGGGGATGCCAGCCTCTGGCTGTGACGTGGCCTCTGCACTGGAACTCTCAGCAGCTATGGGTACTCAGGAGATCTGTGCAAGATCGGACCCGTTTAGCTTCCATGCTGGACAAGAGCAAGGACTCAAAGCCCTGGCTCCCCCATGAGATACGTAGACAGTTAACAGCTGCTGGGGGAGGGGCTCACACACAAGGCAGGTAAGGGTTGCTGGGGAGAGAAACGTCTTTAGTGGTGTTACAGCCTGCAAGTTGCCCATGCCTTGTAGGTAGCTGTAGTTAACCTGAATGGTTCACCAAGCTAGTTGGTTCCTTGTCTGCAGGAAACAGACGATTGTTCATATCACAGAAGGACAAGGAGAGGAAAATGCTAATTTTGATCCATGAAGGCTGTACGCAGGTTTTGAGGTAGCATGGGTTACAGTAGTACCATGCAAATTATATGCTAAGGTAAAAACTCGGTTGTTGGGCACCAAGTCTCACTATGTAGCCCTGGATACCGTGGCACCCATTATGAAGAGCAGCTCCAGGCTCCGGCTCACAGAGCCCTAACTGCCTCTGCCTCACCAGTACTGAGATCAAAGGCATGGGGGAAAAATGTCTTTAAAAGCTGACTTACCAGCGAAAGGGAGCTCAGACACTGGGCACAGCAGTTGGCCTCGAGGGTGCCATGGGACTGTCTGTTCTTCTCTTTGTCAACTATTTTTCTGTGGAAAACAATAGGAGAAAATAAAGGACATCAGTGAAATTCATTTCCCACAAAAACTGGCCACTCCTGGACTCAGAGGCCCCTGCTTGTAGTTCCAGCCCCTTGGGGGCCAAAGTGGAATCACTTAGTCCTGGATCTCAATGGCCCCAGCCCTGGTAGTACAAGGGTGGTCACAAGGGTGTCAGCTTTTACATGGGTTCTGATGATACATGTTCCGTTCTTATGCTTGCATGACATCATTTTCCAACTGAGCTGTCTCCCCAGATTTTCCTATTTGTTTTTTCTTGTTTGTTTTAAAGCAAGTCTGTATAGAATGTTCCCACTAGCCTCTCACCAGTTCCTCTGTTCACTTTCCACAGTAGGAGTGGTGGCTTGAATGTGATGTTCCCCAGAGTTTAGGGGGCATTGGAACATTGGGTTCCCTGTTAGTGCCACTTTTTGGGAAGTGTGGCTCACTGAACATTGCTCTGGGTGGGCTCTGAGGTCTCAAAGACTCAGGCCATTCCTGGTTTGCTCTCTCTGCTTGTGGTTCAAGACGTGAGCTATCACCATGACTGCCCTCTGCTGTGATGGACTCTAATGCTCTAGAACCATGATCCCAAATAAACTCTTCTATGAGTAGCCTTGGTCCTGGTGTTTTATCACACCAGAAGAAAAGTAACTAACATAGTAGATTTGTCCAAACAAAGCTAGCATGCATGTGTCCTGGTTCCTAGGCTCCTGATGCTTACTTCAGAAATTCCCAGTTTCTCCTCCCAGACTTCCTAGGCTGCACACGTTGCATCTGCTCTCCTGCCTCTTCAGACTCCTCTACTTCATGTCAGGTTCTCAGACCTTCCTTGCCATTTGATGACCTGAAGATGCTTGAGTCAGAGATTTTGGAGGATTTGACTAAGGCATCTTTCTAGTTAGACTGGCATATGGAATTTGGAAGAGAGGACCACAGAACATGCCTTATCTTTGAAGAAACTAATTCAAGTGAGTACCTGGCCTGGGCAGTGGTAACTAGACCTCACTGGAAACTTGCTTTTCTTCAGAGAATCCTTTTTGGAATCAGTCATACACAAGAGTACCTATGCCCTCCTGGGAGACAGGTCAAGCTCCAGCCCTTAGCACTCAGGAAGTGGAGGCAGGAGGATCAGGAGTTCAAGACAATCTTTGGTTATATAGCAAGTTCAAGGACAGCCTGGGCCACATAAGAGCCTGTATCAATAAGAATCAAAAATTGGCTGTGATGCACGCCTTTATTTCAGCACTCAGAAGGCTGATGCAGGGGGAGCCTGAATTTGATGACAGCTAAAGCTACATAGTAAATGCCTGTGGGGAGGGGTAGAGGAGAGTGTGGGGAGGTCCCACCCTGTAAAGGTTTTCCTTACAGAAGAACTGTCTCCTGCATTATCTGTTCCTTATCCTTTTGAGATAGGACAGAAGCAGTAGACTGAGGCTCCCATGTAAGAACAATGGCCATACCTAAGCTCCCTCTTCTCCTGCATGGTCCTCGGCTGGTTCCTGATGGTTTTGATTCTGTCTCTAGATGTCATGGGAACCAGGGATGCAATTAGTTTCTGTCCTGCAGGAGAAAAGGATCAGAGTTCTATTTCTTTTCTTTAATACAGTCTTAACATTGTAAGAGATGACACTGGAGTGCAACTTGGCAGTGCTTGCCTATAACCCCACAACTGGAAAGCAGAGGTAGGAAGAGAGCAAGCTCAAAGCTAGCCTGAGCTACATAATGAGTTCAAGACCAATCTGGGTATGGTGGTCTGAGTGACGTGTTCCCCATAGTTTTAGGCGTTTGAATGTTTGTTTTTCTGTTTGTGGCGCTGTTTGGGTAGCTCTCTCTACTTCCTGCTCTCAGTTCCAGATGTGAGCACTCAGCTTCCTGTTCTAGCTTCCATGCCCACTGCTTGCTGCCATGCTTCTCCATTACAGCTGACTCTTAACCCGCTGGAACCATGAGGTCAAATAAATGCCTTCTGATAGTTGCCCAGGTCACAGTGTTTACCACAGCAATAGAAGAGTAACTAGTATACTGGGTTACCTTGTGAGGTCCTGTCTCATCCACCCCCACCATATGTATGTTAATCAATCTTCAATCAATCAATCAATCAATCAATCAATCGATCATGGTATTGTACTAGAGCATGTTTTATTTTGAGACAGATTCTTGTTCTATAGCTCAGGTTGGCTTGAAACTGGTGGTTCTGTTCTCTCGGTTTCCTAATGCTGAACAATGAACACTCGGCACCATATAGACTGACACAAGAGATAATATAGACTCAGGGAATGCAAAGATCACAATGGGGTCTACTAAGGTGACACAGACCTTTCATTCCAGGACTCGGGAAGCAGAGGCAGGTGGATGGATCACTGTAAGTTCAAGACCATCCTGGTCTACAGAGTGAGTTCCAGATCAGCTAGAGGGGCTCTGTCTCAAAAAGCAAAACCACAAATGGAAGTGACTAGAAGATGTGTGTGTGTGTGTGTGTGTGTGTGTGTGTGTGTGCTCAAAATCAAAGCTAACATTTAGACTATTCAAATCCAATACTTTTGTATTTTCCAAGTCAAACAAACAAACAACAGCAAAAGCAAAACAAAACTATCACTGAACAAAGCAACAGATCTTGCCTGCCTGTGTCTCTCTGAATTCCAGGCAATTTGAGTGCCCTTTCCTAGGTCCCTAACAACTGTCACAGCTTTCTTAATTCTCCCTTCTCCTCTGACTCATAGTCAGGTTTTCAGCCTCTCACTCATTCCCTCCTATTAACTATGAACCCCAAAAGAGTCCAGATTACTCCCATTCCCTGCCTCCACTTCCCTAACAAGGCCTGAGCATCTTCTGCAAACACCATCTCCAGGCACACGGGACAGGTCCCGGTGAGTCTAAGCCAATCCAGTGGTCTTATCCTCTGTGCTGAGAACTTAGACAAAGACACGTGACATGCTATTGGCCAGAAGTTTCTTGGAAAGAGGTTTCTTCTTTCTACACAAAAGGGGGAGGGGAGAAAAAGATTGTGTTTCTTCCTCTGGATAGTGTGGGTCTAGGTGTAATATCTGAGCTGCTGTGACCATCTGCTAACATGAGTGGGACCGACCTGCAGGATGCTCTGCTGAGGAGCAGGGGTGGGCTGCTCCCCAGGCTCAGATTCAACACAGAACTGGAAAGCCTCAGAGGAAGCTCCACGTTCACCGAGGTGGAAGGGGGCGCCCTCAAAGGGAAATAAGTCACTTTGCTGAAAAGGAAGAGCTTTTGATTCCTCGTCTAGGATAAGCAAGGGAGAAGGGTGGGGAGGTAATTTAAGGACAAGAGAGGAGAAGAGAGAAGAGAGGAGAGGAGAGGAAAGGGGAGGGGGGGGGCGGGGGGGGGGGGGGGGGCGAGGGGAGGGGAGGGGAGGGGAGGACCATTACAGAGTGACTGCAGAGAGAAGCGCAGTATAAGCCAGTAAAGGGTTAGGTACATTTTCCCCTTCTCCTAGAATTTACTGACACATGCTAGATTTTATACCTAGAATGAAAAAATGTCTATTAATAGAATTTCTTAGATAAGATCTCCTGTAACTCAGACTAGTCTCAACCTCTGTATACAGTTGAAGATGACCTTGACCTCCCTACCCTCCTCCTTCTAACTCATGAATGCCAGGACCACAGACATATGCCACCATGTCCTGTGCATGTGGTGCTGGGGATGGAGCCCACAGGTTTGTTTTTTTTAAAATGCTAGACAAATACCCTACCATCTGAGCCACAGGTCCAGGCCCATATCTGGAGTATCATGGGGGTAAAGCAGAAATAGCATTTCAGTTGGCCTCAGGAGCTCAGAGACTGGAGGGTCGCAGCTAAGACTTAGGCTAAGGGTGAACTTAGCTGTGAGGCATCCTGTCTCATCTCAGAAAACCATGGTGGCAATGACATTTCCTGAGCCTCAGTTTCCTCATTAAGCCTGTCTCAAAGGTGCAGAGGATGAGATAAAATACAACTAAATTCAATGCCTGACAAAACTAAACTTGATGAGTAAACTCCAGGCACATGAAATATGGTCGTGTGGAAAATGAGCTCTTAGCAGGTAAGTCTCAAACTGACTCTTCTCTTCATTCCCAACATCCTTTAGCTTCCTGACTGTTACCCTTGAAAATAACTTGATATCTTTTTTTTTTTATTATTGTAAAGGTTGGGGAGATGGCTTAGTGGGAAAAGTGCTTGCCACAGGAGTGTGAGTATCTGCCTTTGGATCTCTAGTATCCATGTAAGAAGCTGGACACAGCAGCAGACTCTTATCATCCCAGTCATGGGGAGGCAGACATACAAGGAACCCAGGGGTTGAACAGCCAGCCAGTCTAGCTGACTCCTGGTGCTAAAGATTCAGTGAAAAACCCTGTCTCGAAAGAATGCAGTGGAGGGGCCAGCAGGAGATGAGCCTGTTAATAAAAGCCCTTGTTGTCCAAGCATGACTTACACACACACACACACACACACACACACACACACACTTAAACAACAACAACCTACAGACAACTTTCCTGAAAAAGCTACTTCACTTTTTCTGAGCATTCTGTACCTTGAACAGTTTCATGAAAAGTACAGGTTTCATCCATGCCCAGGCACTCTGGGCCATGATAGATCTGAGAGATTGATTCATTCAGAGATGAAAACCTCAACAATCGGTTGTGCCTTCTGTCATTCCCATGGATGAAAATCTGACAGTCTACGGTGTCCGCAGTTGAAGAGGAAAGTGTGGTGAAGGTCGGGTTTGCTGTTGACTTTCTCAGAGTGATCTGACTTGAGGCTAAGTGCCTTTGAACCCCAGAGGGAACGTTTTCCACCTCAATGATGATATCATTCTCTTGGTCGTCTGACAGCATCTCTTGCTTACTAAGACTCTTGTTCTTCACAGAGTTGGTCACCAAAGGTCTCATAAGCATTCAGACTGCCATGGTTGGGCCCACCAGGGAAGAGTGGTGACATCAGAGAAAGGATGCCCCATTCACAAAGAGCGCCACACAGATTACAACATGTCTCCTGCCTCTGTTCCTGAGGGAGCTCCTCAGGAGGAGACACGATTCCCTACAGAGAATTCTGCCTTGGTAGCTAAGTGAGAAATTTGAAACAGAACTCTTCCTCAAAGACAATGGGGTTCTAGAAGCAGAAGGTGGGGAGTCTTCTACATGACCTGTAACCGTAGGACAAGGTTTTATTGTCAATTTTACATTCATCATTTGATATGTATATTTTGGGGACAATGAGGTGGCTCAGTGACTAAAGGTACTTGTTGCCAAGCCCAGTGACCTGTGTTTAATCCCCACATGGTAGAAAGACTGAACTGATCCTTCCTGCAAGTTTTCCTTGACCACCACACAAGAGCCTGTGCATGTTAATGACTAAATGTCTTCTATGTAAACCCACATGCGTTCATAGCATTTTCTCCTGATCACCTCAGGTCTGCCTTCTAATATCTATCTTCATGCCAGCAGAAGCTCCTGGAGAGACGCAGTGCTCAGTTAAGATTCTTCCAGTTTCCTCCACAGCTAAGAGTAGTCATGTGACCCAGTTTTAGTCAAGGAGAATGCAGCTTTTAGAAAATGAGTTTTAAAAACAGTTGGTTTGGCTGGCTTTTTTTCTTCACTCTCCTTCGGCTTTTGTGCCTTCCTGTTTTGAAAACAATTAAGCAGACATTCATCTGCTAAGGATGACAGATGGAGGGAAGCAAACTTAGTCCTTGAGAGGATCATGGAAACAGTTTCTTTATTGAATTGCTCTCTCAACTCTTTCTGTTCCTTGAGAAAAATAAATTATCACTAAGATATTGCTCTGCCCCAGGACCAGAGACTTGAACAGAATTATTGTACGGGCCCAATTTTCAAGTGACCTAGACCAACTTGCTCATTTTTCCAGTGGGCTAAACTAAGGGCAGAGAGATGATATGACATACTCGGTCCACTGACTCCTATTACAAGTCAGGATTGGACAAGAACTTCTTACCTCCTTCCCATGGTGGTTAGTGTCGCCTAGCTTTACTGATACTTTAGAGTAGTGGTTCTCAACCTTCCTGATGCTGTGATTCTTTAATACAGTTCCTCGTGTTGTGGTGACCCCCATCCCAAAATTATTTCTGTTGCTACTTTATAACTGTAATTTTGCTGTTGTTATAAGTTGTAATGTAAGTATCTGTGTTTTCTGATGGTCTTAGATGACCCCTGTGAAAGTCATTTGATCCCCAAAGGGGTTGTGACCCATAAGTTGAGAGCTACTGCTTTGGAGTATGCTATTCAGGCTTTCACAATTACCCCACTTCATAGCTAAAAAAAACCCTGAGGCTCAATGGGGGGGAGGGGTTGCCTAAGGCTAAGATGTCAGAGATCAGTTGCACTAAAAGTCTGAACCCTCAGAGGAGAGCTTGAGTATTTCACTTTTGTCTCCTTCTAGAATAAGGTGCTAATGTGTATTAACTCATCACTCATTCATAAATTAGCAAGTATTTTGTGCTTTGGTCCTTTGCTATGTATTGTAATGCTAAATACACTGGCCCCAAGATCTGACTGCCTCAGATACACTAAGTGATGATGCTATGTAATCTTACTCTTTAATTTATAACTATAAGTTGAATAAAGATGCCAACAGCCTGTAGCTGGGCAGAAGAGAGGTAGGCAGGGCTTCGGTTACTGGGCTTTGGGTCTGAAACAGAGACCATGAGGAGAGCAGAGAGGTGAAGAGAGGAGAGGCCATGGGGTGAGTGAATCATGAGAACTTGGCCGTGAGGGGGGCCAGTTGGAGTGGCCTAGGCTGGATGTGGCAAGTTCTGTCACGGAGTTATTGACAGAGAAGTAGACAAAATAGCTTAGAGGGTTGCTATCTGCCCAGCTCTAGTGCTTTACGGCTTATTATAAATATAAAGGTTTTGTATCTTTTATTTGGGAACTAAGTGCTCAAAGGTCAGGTAGAAACCAATAATTTTTTACTACAATACAAGTGTTTACTTACTAGTGCCTGCTCTGTGGCAGGGAGTTCTTGGGGCATCAGCAGAATCTATAAGAGTGACACATTATCAATTAATTGATATGTGATTTGAAAATCAGAAAACAGGGAGATTAAAGCTGTGTCTTCTGGCACACACCTTTAATCCCAGCACTTGGGAGGTAGAGGCAGGTGGATTTCTGAGTTTGAGGCCAGCCTGCTCTACAGAGTGAGTTCCAGGACAGCCAGGGCTACACAGAGAAACCCTGTCTCGAAAACAAAACAAAACAAAGCAAAGCAAAACAAAACAAAAAACTGTGTCTTCTATTTCTTCGCCCCCTCTGCCTCTGGGGGCCTCGTCTTCCAGTCTCGTGCTGGCTGGACAGAGCAGTGTAATGATGCTCACCGTACTGCTTCCCCTCAGTGGTTAAAGCCTTTCTGTGCTCCACTGCCAGGCTGTAGTATTTACCTCCTGTAAAAGTTACACTTTAGCCTGGGAAGGTTCTGGAAGGGTGAGTCTGAAAGCTGCTCATACGATACTGAGTGGACAGAGAAATAGCTTTAGGTTGCAGGGTCCCTCGATTTGCACTATGATGTAAGAACCCATCTCTTTGGTCCTCTGCATTCACAGGCTTGCCTTTGTGATGGCCTCTCCTAGTGTCTCTCTGACGGTTTTCATGGATTTATTGGTCTCTGCCTCCAATTAAGGTCGTTCTTACCACACATGATATTTAGATGTTTAGATATTTAGAGTTTCCCTAATATTACAAAGCCTTCAATCTTTCAGCAGAGAGGGTTCAATGTATGCTTGCAGATAACCTTGAGGAATTGAGTTAAAATTCCAGTATCTGTGCAAGCACTGAGTGTGTTTGCCTCCTGTAATTGTAGGGTTTGGGAGGCAGAGATGGGATCTAGGAATCCCAAAAGCTCTCTTGTATGAGGCTACAGAGATGCTTCTGCTGTTAAAGTGGCTTTTGACTCAGCCTGATGGCCTGAGTTCAGTCCTGGGCACCAACATAGTAGAAGGAGAGAACCAACTCCCCCAAGTTTGTCCTCTGACCTCCATAGTGCACTGTGACACACACACACACATACACACACACAAATAAATAAACAATAAAAACATTATTTACTTTTTTGAAAAGGACTCATGTTGTCCTGGCTAGCCTGGAACTTGCTATATAGACTAGGCTATCTTTGAACAAGTAGATATGAGCCTGCCTCTGCCTGCAAAATACTGGGATTAACGGCATGTGCAGCCACACCTGGCCAAAATGTAATTTTAAGGTGGTGGGAGGGCTTTGTCTCAATATGTAAGTTGAAGCAATAGGAAGATGTCAACTCCTAACTTCCTTAAGTGCACACACTCAAACCCTCATACACACATTCATGCGACATACACAAACATACACAAATAAAAAGAAGCTTCTGTTTTCCACTGGTCTACACACTTCCAGTGACTTACACATGCCAACCTTATGGAAGCTGCTTTATTATTTCACAGATTATTTTTGGACTTTGTCCCCAGAAACACAAGCATTAGCCTTGAGACAGGTGGCCCTATCTTGTCACCTATGATAAAACGATTGTTTCAAGCGTGGGCATGTACGTGTTCCTTGTAGCACTGGAGAGCCAGGGAGAAAGGGAAGCCTTCAAAAGGACAGCTATGCTGAGGGGCTTTTGCGGATCTGATAGCCTGACCCTCAAGTCTATGAAGGCCAAGTTTAAAGAGAAGTTGAGCCAAGCAGAGGTTCGAGGTGGATGAGTAATGAATCCAGTGGCACCCAGCCCTGGCTTCAGACTCTAAGGCGATGGTTTATATACTCAACAAACTGTCCAACAAAAACCTCTAACCTACCTATGTACTGGGCACCATTTGAGAAAGTGGAAGCTATTATGATCTTCAGTTCTTAAGTTTCCCTACTCCCTTCCCCCTTAAGCCAATTCGTTCCTTGCTAATCAATTGGGTTTCCATTATAGTGAGACGATTTTTAAAAATATGTGTGTATGTGTGCTTGTATGCACCTGTGTGCACATGGGGCACTCACCTATGTGAGTGGACACACGTAGAGGCCAGAGGTTGATGCCAGGATGCCTTGCCTCTGTTGCTTTCCAACTTTGAGACATGGTCTCTCAAATGAACCTGAAGGTCTCCATATTCACTAGACTGGCTACCCGGTAAGCTCCCAGGATCCATCTGTCTCTGCCCCAAGCACGGAGTTACGCGTACCTGACATTATACATAACATTTGTGTGTGTGTGTGTGTGTGTGTGTGTGTGTGTAAGAGAGAGAGAGAGAGAGAGAGAGAGAGAGAGAGAGAGAGAGAGAGA